TAGATATCATGTAAAAAATTTACTTCCATAATAAAAATAAACTTATTATAAATAACAGAAATATTGATATCACAGTAGTATTTGGAAGAAATAACAGATGTAATCAGTTTTTGCAATGAAAGTAAAAAAAATACTACGATATAATTATCCACGATAAGCCCAAATAATTATTTTATTTTTAATATTGGTATTTGTATTGGTTAAAATTATATTTAAACAATATATCAAACCAAATATATTTAGGAATATTTAAATATATGTTGTATTCCATATCAAATCAACTGAAAATTCAACCCGACCCTCTTCGATTTTTTTAAAAATTTTCATGATGGTAGTATATACACTAACTAGCAATAATATAAAATTTTAATTCTCAACTCAGCTACTTCATGAGATATGGCCATCTTTAGAAACGCGAAAAGTTCAAAACACCATATTTAATTTTTAATATCTCAAAAAGTAATTAAGCTAAAGGTATAATTTAAACTTTATTAAATAACTCTAGAATAGCCCTTTAACTTGATATAAAATTTAATATATTAAAAATAATTTTATTACCAAAAACCGGAAATAGAAAACCGGATATGGTTACAAAATAAAAATTGCCTTTTTTTTTTCTTTCAAAATTTTTTAACAAATAGACATTATATATCTTAATATTTGTACAAAATCCTAGATTGGGACCATTACTGGGCCAATAGTTATTACGCTTTAAATATAAATAGTATGGCTTAAATTCTTATACGAAATGAGTAATTTTAACAAAAGTGATAATATTTGTAAATAATAGTATTAAAACTGAAATCCGAACCCTATCTTAAGATTTATATTCGCCCCCCCCCCCCCCTAAAAAAAATTTCTTCTTAAATACGAGATTTTTGACCTGGCCAGCGTCTACATGAGCGGGAGGGGTAGGAACAGTTTGCATCCTATTTTTTTGAAAGGGTAGGGGGTAAGCTGCTCTAATGGGTAGGATAAATTTTTTGGGGGGTTATCTATTAAATTTTGAGATGAAATAGACAATATTTATTGCTGTAAAAATTAATACTTTTATTATAGTATTATTATAATATTCAGGATTTCTATCTATTTGTCGAGGGTATTGCAAACAATCATACACATTGTTTTCCAAATAAAATATCCTTTTAAATGTAATTTAAAAGCATATTTTAGCAAGCTCATAATGCCATAATAAATTAATTCATGTAAATAATGGAGGTTTTAATTGAATTTATTATCTAAAAAATAAATTCTTTATATTCACAAAATATCGATAGTTGGTAGTAGAGATAAATTAATTTAAGTTATCCTTTATAAATTCTTTGAAAAGAGTATCAATGATTTTTTAGGGGGGTAGGCAAAGGTTTTTAAAGGGGGTTTGCATCCAGTGAAAATCCTGTCATGTAGGCGCTGGACCTGGCAATTCTATAAGTGAATTATGTAGATTATTTTCTTTGCCGGATAAAAAATTATCTTTGTGATCGTCAGAAATATATTTTCATAAAGATTATTTTCTACTTATATAATTATCAAATAAAATAATTATCATAAAAATCAAATTCAATTCCAACAGCAACAGCCGTCATTTTTATTGATTAATTTTATAAAGCCATTTTTCTAAGAAAATTAAATTATCGGTATTCATTATCCAATTTATTTTTAATTTAAAATAATTATATAAAATTAATAGCTATCTTTTATTCCTTACCAAAAAAATTTAAATGTCTAGAAATGTTATTTCTATTCCAGTAAAGTGCTGTAATCCCTTTAGAATAAAATCTCATTCAGTAAGTTACGATCTTAGAAATGTTTTACAATGGATGATAGAAGTGAATTCTAGCTTATCAATTAATCAAAAAATTTGTAGCTCTAAATATTTTAATTCCTCATGATTTATTTCTTCGGAACAATCTTCATTTTTTTAAGTCATTAAAATCAAATTTGAAGGATGGGGAATATCTAATAATATCCGATTTTGCAGAGAACTACGCTTTTGTAGTTCAAGATCAAGCTCAAGGCTTCCATTGGACTAATAATCAGGCAACACTTCACCCATTTATGATTTATTACTGCGAAAGCGGTACCATCAAACATATAAGTTACGTAGTTATATCAGATTGTCTAAAACACAATACTTCTTCCTTTTATTTATTTCAAATAAATTAAATTCAATTCTTGAAAGAAAGATTTGATAAGATTTCAATAATTTATTATTTTTCTGATGGAGCCGTTACTTAGTATAAGAACAAAAAAAAACTTTGTAAACCTCTACAACCATTATAATGATTTTGGGATCAAGGCAGAATGGCATTTTTTTGCAACTGCACATGGCAAAACTCCTTGCGATAGTTTAGAGGGAAATACAAAGAGGTTGGCTGCTAGAGCAAGCCTGCAACGTCCTTATGAAAATCATATATTAACTCCTATGGATTTATATAATTATGCAAGAATTAATATCCCGGGTATTAATTATACATTTGTCAGCAAAGTTGAATATTTAAGAATGGAAACCAATCTCGAAAATAGATTTTTAACGGCCAAACTAATTCCCGAGACACAAAAATATCATTCATTTATTCCAATGGAAGGAAAAATGAAAGTCAAACGTTATTCGAATTCATTAGATAATTTAATGTATGATATTATTTAATTTAATATGTTTATAACAATATTAATTTTCCATTTGATATTCATATAATATAAATAAATAGCTAAATAAAGTTATAAATATTTTTACAATTATTTTCTCTCTAAAATAAAATCGCTAAACTTATATGTTAAATATGACATAATGTCTACTAGTGGGCTCACAGTCCGAAACATTTATAAAAAAAATATAATCGGCCCGATCATAAAGGAATTTTCTTTTTATTTGTTTCGTAAATTACTATATATTTGGTATAATTTAGGATTTAAGCCATACTATTGATATTTAAAGCGTAATATCTATTGGCCCAGTAATGGTCCCAATCTAAAATTTTGTACAAATATTAAGAAGAATAATGTCTATTTGTAAAAAAAATTTGAAAGAAACAAAAAGAGCAATTTCTATTTTATAGCTATTTCCGGTTTTCTATTTCCGGTTTTTGGTAATAGACTTTTTATTAATAAAATAATTTTTATATCATATTAAAGGGCTATTTTAGAGCTATTTAATAAAATTTAAATCATGTCTTCAGCTTAATTACTTTTTGAGATATTTAAAATTAAATATACTGTATTTTGGAATTTTCGCGTTTCTAAAGATGTCCATATCTCATGAAGTAAGCTTATTTGAAAAGTAAGATTTTGCATTTTTATTAGTTAGTGTATATACTTCCAACATACAAATTTTTAAAAAAATCGAAGGGGGTCGGTTTGAGAATCGACTTTTTTTGGTTGATTTAAATATGGAATACAACATATATTTGTTTAAATTGGTATTGGTATTGTAAACCAATATTATATTGGTATTGGCCTCACCCCTACTCAATACCCATTATCAATAAAAATTAGTAAGGCGATCCCTTTCCTCAAAAAAATAATGCCAATGATTACGTTACTTTTATCAACGTTACTTTACCACACTAATACAAATTAATCAGGCGCGTACGCAGGAATTTGGTCTGGGGGGGGGGGATAATAAATTTTTTTTAAAGAAATATTATTGTTTTTTAAAATATCAAGCATAAATTTATTAGGACTAATAACTATTCCTAATACACAATTTTAAATTAATGTGAATTATAAAAAAATTATATGTAAAGAAACACTTAAATGACCCAAAATAGAAATTTGAATTTTTTGAGCCTTTACACAAAAAGTTTCTTAGGAATATGTATTTTGTATGTTATATATTTACAATGTAAAATCCAGTCTTCGTTGGGATTGAGCTAATTTTTCAATTATCTCATCCTTGCTTGTCGTCAAATGCCTATGAGTATTCAAAAGATCCAAACCTTTTAATCTACTTTCACATGTACTTCTTGTATGTTTTTCAGAGACCTGCGGACAGTATTTTAGTTTTTTTAAATATACCCGGGCCGGGCAGAAATTTTTTTTAAAAAAACACCCAAGCCGGGCCTTAATTATTTAAAAAAAACACCCAAGCCGGGCCTTAATCATTTAAAAAAAAACACCCAGGCCGGGCTGCATTTTTTAAAACAGCATATATTTGAAATCGTTATTATTAAGTATAATAATCAAAAATAAATATAATTTATTTAAAAAAAATCCGGGCCGGGCCTGAAAATTTATTTTAAAAAAAGCCGGGCCGAGCCTGAAAATTTTAAAAATAAAGCCGAGCCGGGCCTAAAAATTTTTTTAAAAAAAGCCGGGCCGGGCCTGTGTGATATTTCAGTAATAGCAAATAATTGGCTCTTCTAACTCCTTAATAGCTGTTAGTGCTTGATGGAAGAGGCTCTATCCCGTTGGACAAGGTTGCAATTTCTTTCTCCCTGTTGGACCAGAAATTTCACAAATAATTATTATTTGACTAGATATTTGAAAATGGTAGATAAATATTACGCCACTAAAAATTTGAAAATAATAAGTAAATATTATGCCGGATTACTTGAAATCGAAATTAATTGATAAAATAACTTATGAATTTGACAATAAATGCAATAAAATATATATTTAATATGAGATACGAATAATTATTAACAAATATAAATTAATATAAACAATAATATCTTTAAAAAATATATCCAGCATCTGCATTTTTTATTAATAATTAAACGAAAATTATTTATAAAAATATAACCTGCCCCAACTTTGCATAAAGCTTCTATTACAATTAATGAAGGGAATGCCAACAAGAATGCTAGCTCCTCTTCCCCCAAAAATATGTTTATCTAATGAAGATATAAAAAATTCCCTGAATTATTGTAAAAACAAATCAGCAATATATTGGCCTGTCTAAACATCTTAGACGTCACATAATATATGATATGTGACGAATGTATCGTTATTTTCTTCTATGGTATCTTCAATATATTTTAAATTGGTATCGTTTAACTTTAGTTTTGGGATCTTTTACCTTGACCTGATTAGAGTTTGATTCTAAATAATCAAAAAAATGGAAATTAAATTGTTAGATGAAAATTCCAAAGAATGCAAGCAATATCAATTAGCCATTGATAAAGCTTTAAAAAACTTTGAAAATACTGAAGAATGGCCTGATTTAATATCTGTCTTAGGAAAATTACAGAAGGTAAGAGTTATTTAAAAATATAAAATTATGTTTTTAATTAATACTCATAACAGGTGATACAAACATACCTTTATATTTCATATATTCCAAGAAAAATTATACTTTGTAAAAGATTAGCTCAATGTTTGCATCCAGCATTACCAAGTGGTGTTCATTTGAAGACACTTCAAATATATGAACTAATTTTTAAAACAATAGGAATAAAGAATTTATCAGAAGTATAATATATAATTTAAATGATTTGGTGATCACTAATTTAACTTAATCATATGCATGCTTTTTTAAAAAATAGATCTGTAGAAGTCTAGATTTAAACCATAATTGAAATTTTCAACCTTAATATGGTAATTAAAAAGCAATATTTCTAGCCTAGCTCCTATTTCATTGAGTTATAGTTCAGCTGATTAAAAGATTTTATAAAAATTATAACACTTTTTAACTTTTGATTTTTGTAAAATATCATATTTTTCTTATAAAAAGACATGTAACTTGGATATAATATTTTATATGAGTGTGAGTTAGCAAAATTAAAAACAAATATTTGGAAGGACATTAGGGTTGAAATCTTTTAAACTTGTTTGGCATTATATTCTGATAATTAAAAAAAATATTGGTATTTGGCTTAGAATATTTTCTAATTGTTGAATTAAAATATTATTTTATAAAATTAAACTATTTGATTTTGGTACTAGTGTTGTTAAACGGCTCGTTTTGAGGCTATTTTTAAAATCGGCAAACTCAATATTTTATCCAAGTATTGCCTAAGCCTCGAGATTTCGCTAATAGATATCCACCAAACCTTTGTTCCTTCTACAGACAAAATCTTTAGGCTGGCGTAATATTATTCTGGATAAAATATTGAGTTAGCCGTTTGGCTCTAAACGAGCCATTTAGCAACACTATTTGGTACACACATTAAAATTTATAAAAATCTAAAAATTTATAAAAATCTATAAACCATTTCTTATATTGCAACTTAGAATTAATAAGTGATTAATATTGAATTAACAAATGACCATAAACTGAAATTGTATTTAATCATAATAGTAATTGAATTAAAACACCTGTTTGAAATTAGTTTTCTTTATTGTAATTCTTAGTTTCTATAGCCAAAATGCATAATGTTAATAATGATAAAATAGGCCTATTTAAAAATTATCACCTAAATTTTGTTATTTTTAACTGCCTTTAGATTTTTAAAAAAAAATAGGAGATTTTTTTGTTTACTGAAATATTAAAAGGATTTTAATAAGGTGAATTAGAATGACACTATTATAATAGGGGGGGGGGATTTAATATTCTCCATTTTTTGATATAGTTTTATACTAGACCAAAATTAAAACCCAATATTTTAGCCAAAAATAAAATGTAAGCCTCAAGATTTCATTAATATATGTTCAAACCTTTCTACCTTCGATGAACAAAATCTCCAGACCTACGTTTTTGGATAAAATATTGGATTTTCCCTTTTAAAAATTGAGCTGTTTAACAACATTATTATTTGGGATTGAATTAAAAGAATTTATTAATTTATAAAAATGCCTGTAAGTTATATTTTCTATTGAAAATTTTCTGAGCTCATGTCATAATGTGGGCTCTAACTGAAAAATATTATATTTCTCTTTTATTTTACAATTCCCAACCCTATTTTTTTTCATAAAGATATATTAATATTATATATATTTAAACTCTTGATTTATTTTTATAGGATTTTTCTATTTACACATTTGGCATTTTCCCATTATTCCAGAAGGCTTCCCTGGCTATTAAGCCTGTGATATTGAACCTGGTAGAAAATTATTTAGTCCTCCCTTTCATAAATACCGACGATGGAATAGTCGTTGAATCATTAATTATAGAACCTGGATTACTAGGCTTGTTCATGGGAATATTTCCAGGAATCGAAATAGGATCCGAGTTTTTACCACAGTAAAATTGAACATATTTTATATTTGATCCTTTATTAGTTTTATAAATTTGATATTATTTTTGTTTGTTTGTTAATCTATTGTGCACTTCATAAGCAGGATTGCCAGGTCAAAATTTTTAAATTGCGAGAAATATTTGGTTTTTTGCAGGAGAAACATTAAAATTGCTAAAAAAAATTTCAGTTGAGTTTATGTAATGGCTTAGTTATCCCCTTACTATTTCTTATAATTACTTTATATAAATATTAACAAAGTCGGTAACATTTTATAATATTTTTCAAAATAAGTAATATTTTATACTTAGTCTTAATTTCTACTTCTTTGTAGTGGAGTTTATTTATTTATTAGGCTGCGTCCAAAATGTTTTGAAAAAATCATTAAAATTTTTAAATTTTTGCAAATTAATGACAAAACACTTTAGACATAGTTATCAGTTTTAAAAAAATTAAAATATTCAAAATGCTTGATATGATTCAATTATTAGTTATTTATTAAAAGATATCTAAATATTTAATTGTATTTATTATTTCATATTACCTTTCAGTTATTAAACTTTGTATAAACCTATTATTTGATAATGGTTATATTTAAATTTTATTTATATACTTAATAAATACATATAAATAATTGTATCAATATTTAATAAACAGTTGGAAGACCAATAATAACTTTTTAAAAGATAATTTTTCCATAAAACATATATAAATTATTATATTTGAGTTATATAATAAAATTATAATAGAAATATTATAATATCTTTTAAAGGTAGGAATAAGTTTTTTTTATTAATAACTATATTGTTTTCATTTTCTTTGTTGGCATTATCTTGATCTAGCTATTATTCAATAATAAATATCAAATAATAGTAATATAATGTACGGAAATTATAGTATCATCAAAAGAATAAATAGGCATATTTTACCCAATATTTATATCATTAAGTGGATTATCAATTTCATTAAGGTATGATGCAGCCTATTGAAATATATTAATTTTATATAAAAATATAAAATAATAATGTTCCCAGATGTCACAGATTCCTAAAACTATTTTATATTTTTGCTTTTAATATTTCACATTTAAATGTGTCAATTTAAAACCTGACTCAGAATATTTGGTAAAAACATCAATATTTTCTTTTAACCACAGCTAAAAATTTCTTTTCCACTATTAAATTATAATATAATATTTAATTTTACCAGATTTTTGTTGGGTGAGAGAATATAACTCATTAAATTTAGCCTTTATATTCAAAAATTTCTTTTTCACTTGATCATAATTCAAGTTATAAGTTTTTCCTATTTCTTCCCAAATTTTCCTATTTTCTATGGAATCTCTAAATTTTAAATCATTTTTGCACCACAGGCTTCTGTGCACTCTTATGCTTTCCATAAAATTATTTTCTGACACTAAAAAATATATTAATATAAAAGGCTATAATCTTTTGGGTTAGTAAATTTATATTAAAAATTGTACTTACTAATTTTTATAAATAAATTATGAATAAATTTTTATTTGAATTTATTTTTTTAAAATTATTTTTACATTAAAAATAGTTTATGTTATTTTTATCTTCAAAATTTATTTATTTATATTTTTAAGATTTTGGGCGCAGCCTTATATAAAAGAAAATAATTTGATCAAACAAGGCAAAAATTTAAATTAACATCTTTATTTATTAAAATATATAAATTTTATTTAATAAAAACCAACCATCTTTATTTTCCAATGTAAAAAATAGATTATTTTATGCAAATATATATATAAGGTTAATATTAAAAAAATATGGAAAATTGTAATAGTTTGTAATTATAAAATTAATTATATTTTATTTGAGATTTAAATATTGGAACTAAACGTTTACCTTCTTTATTGAGATATTTATAAAATTGCTGGCATGACATATTATAATTTTGTTTAACCATGAGCTCGGCCCCTAATTTTTTTGGAGCAATCTGATTTCTCTACGTTCCCCACCTAGTCTTCATCAGTCTAAAAATGCGCTCCGATGAGGCATTCGAATAAGGTAAGTAGAATACATACTCGCCTTTTTTTCGAAGCATAGGCATTTATCGTTATTATGAAAAAATTCTACCCTATTCTCCTCTGATTGTAGACCATCTAATAGAGTGTTCTGGAGAATCATGAAAAATTGGAGCATAACAATTTCCTCAAACAAGACATCAATATCTATCTGTATTTTTAATATATTTATTAAATTAAAAAACCTTCAATTGATGGTTTCTGTTCCAAGGTTATAAGTTATAACATTTATACATTTTAAATAGAGTTATTAAAATCAAATTTCTATTGTCAAATAGTCTAAAATTGTTTTAGTAAACATATCTGCTTCATTTAAAAAGTCATTAATTAGGTCAACATTTGAACATTTAGATTGACATTTTTAGCAATAACGCTGTAAAAATGAACAAAGTTGTTAAGTGTATACCATTTCCGCAACTGTATTTGTATCTTCATTATTTTATTTTGTAGCATACTTTTGTTTACAATAGATGTAGGTATACTCTCCTGCACTGTTGTGCTTTAAAGATTTCTGATGTCTCAAAATATCATATTATCTGCCATTGTTGTAATTAAATACCGTTAAACATAGTCAATATTTAGCATTACTCTCTGTTAGCTTCATCATACTAAGTAAAATTAACAAAATATAATAATAGAAATTTATACCATCTGGAAGATTGATGTAGCTGTAGATCTAGTAGTCGGTAGAACTTGAAATAGGAGTTAATTAATGATTGTTTCTTCATAATTCTAAAACATTTAACGCTATTTTAAATACTGGTTTTATTATAATAATAATGAATTGCATAAAGTGAATTATATTAAATAAAATAGTTTCATAGAAATAAGTATTATGTTATTATCTATTTAAATGAATATAATGAAAATGATATATATGCATGAATGACGTTGTGTTATTATTGGATAAAACATTTGAAAAGAAATTTAAAATTTATTTTAATAATATAAAAATATTCCATACTGTTTCTCAAAATGATTTTTATAAATTAAAAACGTTAAAATGCTAAAAAAATTAATGTGGGAGAAATTTTGAATTGCGAGAGTGGCGGGGGGGGGTGTCGGCATATAAATTAAAAAAATACTGAAGTCTCCGGCTGATAGGGGGCCTGGCAACCCTGTCCATAAGTGTCGCCTATAAATTATGATATAGGCTAAATATTAAATAATTATATTTTTGTTATAATATTTTTTTTTAATTCGAAAAAGATTTTTTAAAATAGTTGACAAAATTTACGAACATCTGGCATCGAAAGGGTCCGATCTTAAGGGATCAGCACGTGTTCAATATCGCGATGTTCATCAAAAGTCATATGTGTCTTATTTTTTTCATTGCATTTTCGTTACATTAACCAAATCCCCTAATTCCCGTTTAGGCGTTTTAACCTATCTTCTTGAGAATAAAGTCAAGTTTAAGCCCCAAATCAAGGAATTAATTTCTCTTTCAAACAACGATTATACCTCTGTTGAAACATCAAATATATTGCGAAATAGGGAGATTATGGTAAGAAGTATTTTTTGTAATTTCGATTATATTAATATTTTGATATAGATATTTTCTCTATGCTCGGCGATAATGGATGAAAATATATTGGTAAAAAGAAATGTACTGGACGTTATGCAAGTTTTGGTTCCTTTGGCTTTGCTTGATACAAATATGGTTTTAAGCATTATTTTATTAAAACCGTTTTTATTTTGACTATTATTATTTTTTTACCATAAATTTATTTAGCTATCCGAATCCAAGGTTCAAGATAAAGATCATATTAATTCCCTCAATCTTCGATTAATGAACATCATTTTGAACATTCTGGTAGGGAAAAACACTACTTTGCAAAAACGCATATTTAATTGGCTATTTCCTGGCAACTACGATAGTTCAAACAAATATATTCAGAGATCCAGCTTATTTAGACCTCCAATTAAGAACTTCTTAGAAACGGAACCAAAAAATAACACTATTTATCAGACAAATAATGAGAACAATGGTGTTAGCAAAAAGGGCCATAAAAGGACTGGCTCTAAAGACGATTCCTATTACTGCATGATGAAACGGAGTGGTGTCACAATGCTTAGCAATTGCACGAATTTAGACCGTGGGGATCCAAACATTGATACCATTCAATCTTACAATGTAAATTCCCCGAAAACCAACTCATTAGTATCCAATTCTCTATTAAGTGGTAATAGCCTTATTTTCAATTCTGAAACCAAACTGGATTTGTATTCGCTTAAGCAACTCGGTCTAGTCAACGATAATTTGCATTTGGACTCCTCAACGGATAATAATTCCGATTTTTGTAATCTAGAAAATCAACTGGCCTCATCTTTCCAGTCCCTTGATATGGGAGGAGATCCGAACGAAGTTGATTTTGTCAATGAAAAAGATTGTAAAAATTATTTATACCAAAGCTTGCTCATTATTAAAGCATGTTTTGAAAAGGCCTTAGCACACGAAGCATTTAAGGGTCACGCTAACGAGAGTAAAGATGCTATAACTGATCTTAATATTATTCCTCAAACTATCAATATCAGCCTACAAAATAATCCTCTTCAATGCTTGTACACTCTACTCAGCTCATTCTCAAACCATTACAAGGAGATTAAAAAATGTGGGATGAATGATAACCGCAATATAAACTCGCTTTTGATTCGAGCTCTTACTTTCGATTTAGCGCCCTCCATTATAAAATATTCACTTGATTTGTTGCCACGAGACACTTTGGGCAACAAGAAAGAGATGGATTGGCTCAAGAGATTGATCACACACAATTGTTACGGCAAACTGATATTAGAATCAAACATGTCTGATCTTATGAACACATTCCACCTCGCTCTTTGGGAAAAAGTTCAAACTAAACAATTTAAACATAAGTTGGTCATTTGGTGGGATTTTATAAACCTATTTTGCCCGCTTGCCTACGCAAATACGGAGACGGGCAAATTTATTTCTGACAACAATACTATACCTTCCTATACCATGATTTGGTACAATCTCATCAATAGTTCCCTACTCATATTTTTTTCAGTCATACAAAATCACATTGTCGATATAGATACTTTTACAGGTAATATCGAAGATAACAGTATTCCTACACTCAAACTGATTATGAATTTTATCAACAATTGCATGATAGATAAAATCAAACTTTTAAATTTTTGTTCAGCCATCGACAAAAAGTGCAATCTTAATGTCAACAATTTAATTGATCATGATATTGTTGATAATGATGAAATGGTTCTGTCTTCATGCAATCCCATTGATATACTTAGAAACATCGATTATTATTCATTAAATTCTTCTTTAAACCAAGAATATATTCTTAACGGCAAAGGCATTGCATGTAAATCTTCCTCTTACCATATGGTAACCTTAAAGCATCTTTATTCTATCAATGATTTAACTTTTGAAAACATGGATGAAGTTGACAATATGATATTTAGAGATGCTGATATAATTGAAACAACTCCTATAAACATTTGTTCAAATAAATCTGATTCTGAAGAGATTTTTTATCGCAATAACGATACACTTTTGCAATCATCTTTTAAATTTGATGATGCTTGTCTTTGTCAAAAAGATTTTGCCGCTTTGTTGGCCATTATGGAAAATATTTACGATAATATGATTCCTAAATTATCAGCATCTATTCCGTATCAAACTTTTCCATTTTTAGCAGGAGAATTTAATAGCCATGCTCACATATTAATAAAATCAATATTCCCGAAAACATTATATCTCTTATTTGAAAAATTATTTTTAAATGAAACCCATAAGTTTAACCCTGAAAAGGGCTTATCAATTTTACCGAAATTGGATTATATATATAATGATAATATTATTAAATCATCTGACAATGATAATGAAACTTCTCATAAATACTATCATTCTACATTTAATTCTACCACGAAAAATGTAGACGATATAATATATGAAATAATGATAAATAAATCACAAATTATTGGCAAAATCATTTATTCACATTTTTACCACTTTATTTACTTTATAAATTCTCAACCTGAAAAATTAAAGAGCGATCCAGAATCAAACTATAATATGCATTTATTAAGTACGTCTCCTGTATAAATATCTATAATTAATAATAAGATAAGATCTTTAATTATCTAATTTACTAATCAAACAAAAATGATTATATTATGTATATTAAATAGTTTAATCTATAGTCAAAAATAAAATAACAAATTATTTGGCATCAAAATAATTTCAATACAAACATTTTTTTTATCTAAAAAAATTCTCAATTATTATAAAAAAAAGAACGAAAGCTGTTTAATTATATAGGATTTTAAATTTTTTTACTATATAATATAAAGACACAAATTATACTTATAATATTGTCCATTATGGCCATTTATATTTTATAATAATAAATTATAACTACAGTATATAGCCAACATATAGCGCTTCTCAAGGGACCACTAATCTAAAATTTTATAAGCGAGAAATGTTAATAATTAAAACCTTAAAAGATTATAAAATCTAGGAATCGCAGTTAATTCTTATATATATTTTTTAAACTATTATAAAACCATGCCATTTTATCAAACTATAAAATGGTTAGTATAATATCAAACCAGAGACCTCACTAGACTTCAATTTACCGAGTCTTAATGAGTGCTCAAAATCTTGAAAACCATTAATTTTAGCCTCACTAAAAATCGAATGGGTTCTCCAAAATTTTGACAGGAATCGGGTCTCCAATAGCCCATCTATAGTGATGCCACAGTATCAAGCTAATTTAAAATTTCTATTATATATTAATTATATTTATGCATTTAGACGCAACGATGAAATCATTCTCAGACACTTTCAATTTAATGAAAAGTCAATTATTCTCAAATAATATATTTTGCCATCATAATCGATTGCACATATCCGCATTATTAATGAGCGAACTTATTTTAATTAAATCTAGCCCCAACAATATTAACCATGATATCATGAAATTAGATGATAATTTTTTTAGTGCGCTCATAAATGATATTTGGGAAAATATATGTACGGAATACAATTATGATTGCCAAAATCGATTTTATGACTCCCATCATGATGAACCTTCAAATGATTCATTTTTTATTTTATTAAGTACGCAATTTTCACCAAATAAGATGACACATAACGCTAATCTTGAATTTTATAGGGAATATTTGGATGCCTTAATATCTTCGGAAATCAACCGAAAAGATTTGACCCTTAAAATTAAGTCTCTTAACAAATTTATTCAACTGTGGACTTATATAGGCAATTATTTTATCAAACATCCCCCCGTTATCGACGCCAATGATTTTTACGATTGCAATTTTTTGAGCCAGTCTATTTTGTCTATACTCGAATTGTTTAAATATCAATGTGAGGAATCCCTATTGTGCAATATTGCAATTCGAAAATTAGTTGAAACCATTTTTGCGGGTAGAAATAACGGACAACATTATTGGGTTATTGCTTATTTTTTGCGTCCAATATTATTACCATTGATTTTGGTATACCCCTCTCTGGTCAATTTGAATGACATAGAAATTCGCGCAATTGAATACCAGGATAAAGATGACTTATCGAATAGTAGTGGTGTATGTTATAAATTTATTCGGATAGAAAAAAATTCTGCAAAAAATGCAGGAGGAATAAAAGATGAGCTTGGTAGTGGCGAAAATGATTTATCTTCAAAAGATGTCCCACTAGTTTTAGCTTCTCATTGTATTATGATCACAAGTCAATCAAACTCCGTAATAACTAATTCATACAATGATTCGACAAATGAATCCTTCTTTAGATCGACTGACATGACACCTATTCTCACCATTTACAATAATGCACTGCAGATTGTCATCTATCCTTACGAGTTGGAAGAAATTAATTTTACTTTGAAATGCATCCACGATATATTACTTAGTACTCCAAGACAAAGTTCACAAGATATAGCCACTTTTCTAGTCTCCTCTTTCCCAATACTCCATTCCTCTCAGACAACCACTTCATTTCAAGGGAATACCTTTTTTGATAAAAAATTTAGGAACAACATAGAAATATTACTATTCACTTGTATTCGACTCTCAACCTCGTATTTTACTAATTTTCCCTCAAACTCCCCAGAATCAGAGAAGACGAGTAATTTAATTAATTCTCAACGTTTAGCCTTGCACGAAGAAAACTGCGTATGGGCCCTAAAAATTGTGGATAAAATTGTTGAAGCATGTTTAAACATTAGGAACTATGAAATTTTTTCGGATATATTGCATTCCATTATTAATTATAAAGTATAATAATTTTATATTATATGCGTAAAATTTATTCATTTTTTTATAGGTGATAGAGCATGTATTGAGTTGTTTGAATATAATACCCTTTCTTCAAACATTAAAATCTAGTCATTTCACCGAATCATTCCTCGAAAAAGAAAGATTTCTCAACATAGAGGAGAATTTATTGCTAATCAACGACATTTTGCATCATAATGATCCAAAGTATCGATATTTGGAACTCAAAGTTCCTCTACTTTTCGATATTTTAAATAAGTTATTACTTATATCTAAACCATCCATATCTAGTAAGGTAAATTTGTTAAATATTAAATCATATACTCCTATATTATTTTTTTCAGGAAAAGTTTAGCCAAGGCTTGCACTCGTTAAATCCTTCGCTAGACGTAGCTTCGGAAGCCATAACTTCCACATTTAAGCGACCCAATTTTTTTATATCTAACCCTTCTACCAAACTCGAAAACTCATTCGTTCTTTATTATATTTTAAATCGAGAGATAGATAATTGTGCCTCGTCCTTATTTTATACCTGCTTTCGCAATTTTTACCTTCAAAATAGAAACTATGAACATTTATCGACAACTATGGAGTCTAAAAAGGAGAGATGGTTAAATTTCCTATCCAATTCGACATATTATTTGCTAGAAATGAATCGCGCGTTTATCTCCTCTACTCACATAGAACAATTGAGTAAGCTTTCCATCTTGACGGCTGATTTGAAATCTCTGACTGTATCCTTCCTAACTCATCTATTCGCTGTTACAGATTGCATTTTACAAAGCGTAACTGACTTCGAAAGTAATGACCTAGAACGATGTAACTCTAAATGCTTGCCTCTAAACTTAGTCAATTTGAACGCCTGTTTCGCTCTGATCCTCAAATTTTGCGTCTCTTCTCGCCTTTATCCCGATTTCGGTGATGATTTAAAGAAATATAATTTGGAAACTACTATCCTAACTTGCCCTTCTTATAAAAACTGGTTCGATGCATGTCTTCAAGCCCTAATTTCATCCGAAAATCTCTCCAAAGATTTGTATAACTTACCAGATCCTACCGCGAAAATTCGAGATCCTTATTATGTTGCCATGGCTAAAGAACTTTGGGCCTTTCACAACCCATTCTATGTTGAATGCTTCTTCAATTACTACCTCTACATTAATAGCCAACCCGATCATGGTAAGTACGAAACTTTGTTTTACTTCATATCTGAAATTATATTCAAACATTTTTTCAAAACCAGTGAATCCTCATTCTCACTAATATCAACTCTTTGCCCTTTTTTTGCTAGCTCGTGTAGCAAAGATCCTCACTTACCCATAGATGCATACTATTCCAAGATGCCAGAAATAATCAACGCTCTGTGGAACAATTTGAAATCGAACCAGGAGGATTTTTATTTTCTAGATCAATTTCTAATGTCCACCTTTCTACGATGTTCTTTGATCTGGTACGGACTTAAAGATTCGTCAATCGAGCCCCCTTGCTCCTCTTTCATACCCAACCACGTAAGAAGGCTTTTTAAGCATCTATATCACAATTCCAACCGTTTTATCGGAATTTATTTTACATCTGCTGCTAAAAATTGCGATAAAAAATCGCAAGGCATCCTTTTTAATATATTCAACACAATATTCAAGTCCATAGTCGCTTATAGAACGCAAGCCCTTCTTACTACATTCTTGAAACAACGTCCTTTTACGCGACTCACCCATAATACGAAAAATGATAAAAGTAATCTTAAATATCCTTATTCATTTGACACGCTTATAATAGTTTCTATGCTAGAGTTTCATCATTTTACTATCCTCGAACTCCATAAAAATGACAGGTTAAATTGTTCACCAAACTTCGAAAATATACTAAATAACCTCGATACAAATATCTTGTTTCAACTCCTGAGTGACTCCACTTTTTTGGATCTTATAGTCCCCGGGATGAATCCCGAAAATCTTAAAAATCAAGCCCCAAGTCTCATGATTTTGCGCAATTTACACACTGCTTTGAGCCGATTTGACAAATTATTTACTAGTTCTACCCATTATCAACAAAACCTATTACACAATACAACTTGTGAGCAATCTTTGCGTGATATCTTTCAAAAGTCGCTGGAATCGACTCTGCACTTATGCCAGTTCTCTTTAAGTAATGCCTCTTGGATGCTTTTCAAGAAAAGCCCCCAGGTTTTTTTGATAATTATGAATACCCATTAATAGTAGTATCTATTCATTAAATTATATAGTAGTTTGTATTTTGAATGAATATGTGTAGTTCTTTAATACTAATATTATTTATTAAAAGTTTCTTAATGAAATCTTTGGTATAATTACTTTTTTTTTGTTATTGGTATTCTTATAAAATTATAATATCTTCCAATATAAAAAAACGACCACCTTAAATTTTTCATGGTTTATAATTTCAAATTAAAATAAACACATGAAAGACTTCTTTTCTTAAAATGAGCCAGCCTTTAAGTTAATATAGTAGAACCACAACTCTTTACGAAAAAACTTAATTTTTTTATTCATCTGGCCTTTAATGGGTCACTGAAAGCTTTGAAAAGTGGATACTCATTAATTTGCTATTTATGCATACAAGGAAAGAAAATTACAAATAAAAATCGTTGCTGAAATGCAAGGTTAAAGATATTATTTAAACCGTTACACATTGTTGAGAAGAGTTACGAGTGATAAAAAGGTGAAAGATATGGTCGGGTTCTAGTTTAAATATTAGCTTAACCCTACATTCATAGTTAGCATGAATTCGCGGCTGTTACCCTGCATTTACGATTTTTTTGTGGCCCGAGCCCGAATTATAAAAAAATTTATTAAATATTATAATATTCAAAAAACAATTAAAAATTATGTGTATTACCTTAAATAAAAGTTTATTTGACCGCCATAATATAATCAATATTTATATTAAGTTGCATTTTATTTAAATTGGGAACATATACCTTTTATTCAGTTTAAATATGAAATACAATCGAATTTAATCATTATTGCTATTAATATATAAAAATAATGTGTACAACATAATGAACATATTATAAAGATATTTCATTATCAATAGTATCACAGTGAATAATTGTGATATAAAAATAATGGGGAGTAGAGTTTATCAGGCTTTAAACAAGTCCTCCTATCTTCAAGGGCCCTACCAGCCGCTGAAAGCACTCTTTCACTGCTAGCCGAGGAAACAGAATAGCTAGCAATTTAAGAGCTAAAACACTTAAATTGAGAAAGTCGTTTTGATAAGTCTTTAATCAATTTAAGATTTGGTAAACTATTTTATGAAAATTTGAAGCTATTTAATTTAATAGATGTTAGATAATTATATTTTAATTAACCTGATAGAACATGATATGTAAATAAAGTAAAAAATATGATAACAAAATAGTTTTAACGGATGTTAAGTAAAATAATAATAATTGAAAATGACATTTTATTCTAATTGACATTATGAATTAAAATGATTATTTAAGATATTTATATATATTTATCTATCGGGTCAGGCCTCGGGTCGAACACCTCTTACAACCTGAGCCCGAAACTAGTCTTTGCAGGGAAACTCGGAGATATTTAGAATAAATCTAATTTGATTCATCTGGATTTTTTCAAAATTTGCCTATAATCTATAATATATATAAAAGCCGTGTCACACTCACAGTGTCACAATTTATAATATATATTTGAAAAATCGTGAATTTTGAAAAGCGTCTGTGGCCTAATCGGCAAGAGCATCCCTTACAAATCGGAGGGATTTTGGATTCGAATTCCAGTAAAGATCATTTTTTTTTCTTAATCCAACTTGGTATTTTTTTTTCTTAATCCAACTTGGTGGTTCCATCCTATGGGCATTAACTAAATTCCCATTGGGCCTGAAAATGTTGTCAATTGCAGACCTCTAGTGATAAATGCATGAGAAAATACATTTATAAATGGATTCTTTGGCAGAGGTATAATCCATTATGATCTGCTGTTTCCAATGTCATCCTGACTAGGGGTCTGCAATGGGCAAGTTTTGGTACACCTGCCTGTTCATTTATTTAAAAATTTTGCTACCTTTCCAATGTTTAGAAATTATTACATTGGTTGATTTGGCTCTTACTTAAACTTATAGATTATAAAATTAAAAAAAAATATCTAATAATAAATAGAAGTCAGTTGCTCATTTTGCCGAGAATATATTTCAAATTCACTTACCCATTGTTTTAAAAATATTTTTTAACCCTCCCACTTACCAACCCAATATCTTTCAGTTTATCCATAGAATAGGCGGGTTTAAGTTAGGTAAAAAAACAACTTTAATCTAGCAAGAATAAATTTTTTAGGTTTTAGATTGCAAATGAATGTATAAAAATTCATTTAGGAATATTTTTTTATTGAGTACCAAAATACAATGTTTACAGATTTTATGAAATTTATATAATAAAAATTCATATGTTCCGATTATATATTTATATTAAAGGTAATAAAAATATCATAGACCTGTAGAGCCTGCCCTGGATTTTGTTTTGAAATTTTTTTTGGCATGGCTCGATCTAGATTTTTAAAAAATATATTATATTCTCAATTTTTATAGATAATAATGGTTATGTAAAATATACAGCCCGATCTGGGTATCTTTAAAAATTTCAGGTCAAGCCCGGGTATATTAAAATATGGCCTAACCTCTGTACCTATATCAAAATATATTCTCTTATAATAAAGATCATCTTGAAGAATGATCCATATTATGAGAAGATGCAAACTTATTCAAAATTTTGTGGCCATTCCTACAATCTAATATTGCATTTATATGATTACTAGCTGATGTCCCACAAGAATGACAAGGAATTAGTATTCTCCTTAATTTGATGATGGATAAATTAGAAATAAGCCTATATGAGGTGTGAATTAGAAATTTACCTTGTTTTGATAATGAACGCCAAGGTAAAACGTGTACCCCCTGCTGGATCTTTTCTTCAGAATTTGTTACACGTGGAATAAAGGAGTTTTAATGTTACAGTATGTCTCTAGGAATTTTGAATAAACAGGAAATTTGGGATATAAACGATTTATGAATTGTTCACGAAATTTGCTATTGAAAGCATTTTTAAAGTCTACCTTTATAATAGCCATGTTTGGAAAAGGATTTTGGATATAATACAAATGGCATGTGAAGATATTATGCCTTCTCGCTTAACACCAAATCCTAAATGATACGTTGACTTAATAAGTTAAGACCCTGGGTTTTGATCCTTAGCAATTATTTTTGCTAATAATCTTCTAAATAGCCCATTGCAATATGGTGGATACCATCACAGTGTTTGTGAGATAATCAGGTTTGCCCCCATAATTGATTCGAATCTATGATGTTAGGTCTTTTTTTAAAAGAGTATTTAGGAAGGTTTTAAAAGCATTAAATGATAATTTGAGTTGAATGTAGATTGTATACGAAGTGAGAGGCAAAAACCATTGCGTCTGGATGTGGAAAATTGTTAAAAGAATTGATAAATATTATAATTCACAAATCATATTTTTTTAATTCCATATTTTATAATTTATTTAGCCTTTTCTTTAAAAATTTATAGAAATCTTGGATTTGTTTATTATTTCGCCAACTATCCTAAAGCATATTAGAACACCAAACTAGAGGACTGCAATGGGCGGTTTAAAATTTTTAGAGGCTAGGCGGGTCGTTTTAAATTTTTTAAATGCACCCATTCCTGATTCAAATTAAGAGAATTCACTTCAATATTGTATTACAACAGATGGGCAGATGTAGTTGTAAAAGAGGAAAGGGTTGTACCCAACGATATCTCAAAATATTTGAATTTAAATACTGTTGATTTGATTATGTATATTCGTTTATTTTGAAAATGAAAGAAAAAATTTTTAAATATATTTTTTCAACCAAGAAGAATATTAGCTATTTCAGCAACCAGCGCTGCATTGCTAGAAGGTTTTAATAGCAAAGAAGAACTTGTTTGAATCCAGAATACTTAGATGCATTATTCTTTCTTATAATGATAAATATCAGAATTGGATTTTATTTTTTTTACCTTATAATTTGCCATAAATATTTTATCCTTATGATATTAGAAATGTATATACTTATTTTTTATTATTTATCCAAATTATATAATAAAACTATATATTAAATTTTTCTCACAAAAATAGATTTTGCACATCTATCATTGCAAGCTAACTAATAATTTTTTCAAAACCAAGGGCGGGCAGTCTAAAAAATTGAAAACAATGGGCGGGCTGATATTTTTTATAAGCCATGGGCGGGTGGGTTAAAATATTGAAATAATGGGTAGGCAGGCGGGTATTTTTATCCAAAAGCCATGGACAAGCCAGCGGGTTAAAAAATTTCAAACAATAGGCGGGCAAATAGTTTTTTTCGAAACTATAGGTGAGCAGGTTAAAAAATTTAAAACAATATGCGGACGGGCTTAACATAGATGAAGGATTAAAAACCCGATTTTTATTTGACAAGGAATGACGCCAATTTTTATCTCAATTTAAAAAATATCGACTAAATCAAATTTTGACGATTTTAAGAAGCTCAATAATAAAATATAATTTTTCACAAGTTTTACAATTATATAGGGCTCAAAATGACAGGCTTTTATTGGCAACCCGTATATGAAAAATATAAGGTCGTTTTTTATTGGATTTTGATAGCCTAATGACTAGAGTCCCATGCGAATTCTATTTTCTCGGTTCCATTTTTTAATATATTTTTAAACCGGTCTAAAAATTTTAACTTAAAAATATAATTAAAATCATTTTTATAAACCTTAATAAAATATAGATAAAATCCAATTACTTTGTCCTAATTCCAGAGAAATTCTAATTATCGTTTTATTTTAATAAAAAACACTATTTTATTTTTTAGAATTTTGCGCCAAGGATCCAATAAGAAATATTAAAAAACATAATTTAAATAAATATTACCTCTAAAGGTTTTACGCCAGACTCAACCCGTTGGTTCTTATCTCTCTGCCGCGAGTAGTATTTCTACCATTCCTTCCTTGCCTCTTACATTGGGCAGCCAAGTGGATAGCGAATCCCCTTCAGCTTCACTCTCATTAACTCTCACCACCCCCTACCGATCCTCTAAGCCAATTCGGTTTGCTTTCAATCAATACTCCTTATCACCTAAAAAGAGAAAAAAATCTCGTCAAAGGGATGTGGCCAATGATTACCAAGTATCCTCATATCACCCAGACTTCCCTTCCTCTCGACTTGACCGCTCAGACTTAAGCCCGCCAGCCTTTTACCGTCGAAGAAGGAATCCAGTTATTTCCTCGTCAACAGCAACCGATAACTCCCATGCGATTACACCCGTTTTTGTGGATTCACCCCACTTTAGCCTTGGCGATCTTCCAGATTCGAATCCTGTATCTTGCCGGCACTCATTGAACACCTCCACTACAAATGATACATCTTTGATTGGTCCATACCCGCCTGGAATCAACATCGGTTTAAATTTGTTTACTTACTCAGGAGAAGGATTTAATTTATAACAAACCTTTATTATTTAAATTTAGATTACGCTCGTTTTTTTGTTTAATAATATTAATTTTTATTATAGGGCTTACATATTGAAACATTTTCTTTTTATTTCAAATAAGTGTTTTAAATGGTAACAGACAAATTGATAGACCCTTTTTTTTGGTTGAAAAAACGCGAAATATTCTGTTTTTATTTTTTCCCCAGTTTAAAAAAAAAATACCTCGATTTAAACATCTAGGCGTTTTATAGTAAAAACAACGCTAAACGCTACTACTTTGTAAGCATTCTTAGTTTCAATTATTTATATTTTTAAAAAACCTAAGAATTTTCGTTTTCCGATTTTGAATTAAATCGGAATCGGAAAACGAAGTATAATTAATAATAATAATCTTATTTTATTATTTTAATAATAAAATGACAATATTTGAAAACTTCAATATTAAAATTTTATCAATATAATAATATTAAGTTTGTAAAATAATAGGTAGTTTTCCTTACAACATCACATACATATGGGTAGGGGTGGGACCAATACCAATATAATATTGGTTTACAATACCAATACCAATATAAACCAATATATATTTAAATATTGGTATTGCTTTTACAACCAATACTAATACCAATTACCTAAATATATTGGTTTTGATATATTGTTTAAATACAATTTTAACCAATACCAATACCAATATTAAAAATATCATAATTATTTGGGTTTATCGTGGATAATTATATCGTGGTATTTTTTTTACTTTCATTGCAAAAACTGATTACATCTGTTATTTCTTCCAAATACTACTGTGATATCAATATTTCTGTTATTTATAATTATAGTTTATTTTTATTATGGAAGTAAATTTTTTACATGATATCTATCAATTTTATCTATTTATTTAGGATATTATAATAAATGAAGACCAAATAGAGTTAATAAATATAGATGCTGTTGGTACTAATAATAATAGCGATAAGGAACAAGAAGAATTATCAATATCTAATAAAAGACGAAATTCAGCAAAAATCTGGGAATTTTATACTACTTGTGATAATAAAAAAAAGGCAATTTGTAATAAATGTAAAAAAAAAATATCACTTCCCAATTTTGGAACCTCAGGATTATGGACACATCTTAAATCCATCCACCCAACATTATATAAGAAATGTGAGCAAATAAATATTGGCAGTAAAAAAATTAAGACAATAAAATCATTTTTACTTAATAATATAAATAATAAAGCTAATTTAAATAATTTTATTATAAACTTTTTCATTCAAAATAATTTAGCCTTTTCAATAGTTGAGGATATCACTTTTAAAAATTTAATAGCATATTGTAACCCTTCACTAACATTAGTTTCTAGAAAAACACTAAAAATAGAAATTATGAAACATTATCATAGTTCTTTTATCAATTTAAAATCTGTACTTTCTAACATTACATCTAAATTTTCCTTAACAATAAACATTTGGTCCTCTCCAAATAAAATACCCTTTATGGGCATAACAATTCATTATATTGATAATGATTTTAAATTAAATAATCATTTATTAGATTTTGATACAATTTGTAATTATAAAAAATACAATACAATATAAAATGTAAAAATATCGATGGCTCTAAAAAGAGCTTATAGTAAAAATGTACCTAAAAAACATGTATAATTATGTTTAAAAATTTCTAATTGTATTTTTTGTTTGTTCCTTTTAAATCAGCACTTCTATTAATATTTTTAATATTTTTAATTCTGTATTAAAAGTAAAATTTGAAATTGATTTTTTTTGCATTACATTAGACAATGCAATTAATAATTTAGCATTTCTAAAAATTTTAAAACAAAAAGATAATTTTGATAATGTGTGTATGCAAATGCTTTTACCATATTATACATTTGGCTGTCATGGCTGCATTGGAACCCTTGAATACAACTTTAAAAAAAATAAGAAATTTTTTAAAAATTTTTAAACTTTCTATATCTAAATTTAATAAACTCGAAAAAATATATCTTGAAAAAAATCCACACTTAAAATTTCCTCAAATTTTGGATATACCAACAAGTTGGAATTCAGCATACCAAATGCTTGAAAGAGCAATATTGCTCAAACCCTATTTGACAACATATACCAATCATTTACAAAATACCAATCAAGAAAATTATATTAGTGCCTTAGCCTGGAATAATATAGAAATATACCGAGAATTTCTGGAACCATTTAATTTTTCTACAGAGATGGCCTCATGTGCTAATACTCCAACAATTTCAACAATTATTCCTTTATATTCCAGTATTTTTGAGCATGTGGAGAGTTATATCCTAATGCTATTTTAAAATAGCTTCTTTAGCTGCCTTAACAAAACTTAATAAATACTATAATTATAATAAACACCTCTTTATTATTTCAACAATGATTGGCCCAAGATTTAAACTATCAAGTCATTTATTAAAGCATAATAATATGGAAACTCTTATTGGATATCTTACTAATGAATACAATATTTATAAAATAAATAATCAAAAATTGCCAGAGATTATCTAGCAATTCCGGCCACCTCATCTAGCTCTGAAAGGGCTTTTTCAGAAGGACGGTATGTTATAACAGACCAACGTTGTTCACTAGATGAGCATACTATACAAGCTTGCTTGTGCCTAAAAAGTTAGATGCGCATGCAAGATTCTTCTTAAATACATAAAATTATTTCCTCTTCTTATATTAAAATTATATCATTATTTTGCATTATATTTTGTATAAATAGACAGTTATGTTACATTTTTAGTTTACTTATTTTTCTATGTTCTTTGTGATAAATAAAATGGTTCAAAATCAATACGTTTATTATTGTTGATACAAAAAATACAAGAATAAATCAAAATTTTTTATATTCACATCATAATAAATTCCTAGTTTAAGAATTTGAATTCAGTAAAATTTTGATAGTTGGTTCTTAGCCCTGATTTTATGGTATCATGATTTTTTTCCCATGTTTATTTAAAATTAGAAATTAAGGGTTTTATAATCACTATTTCTATTCTTTTAATTAGTAATTTGAATTTAAACCAATACCAATATAAACCAATAGTTACCAATATAAACCAATAGCAATACCAATACAAGAAATAGAAAATATTGTTTAAACCAATACCAATATTTTAGACCCAATACCAATACCAATACAATATTTTGTTAATATTGGGTTTTTACTATTGGTTCCCAGCCCTACATATGGGAATGAAGATTTTTATGTGTTATACTTGTATTCATTTTTGATCGAAAGTTAGGCTGAATTCACAGTGGACGCTATTTACTGATCGAGTTCATAAAATCTTTTAATAACATCAATTTTAATCGTACTATTAATTCAATCATGATGATAATTTAAGTTATTAATATATTAACCCTTAATATAAATGGTGAGTATTTCTACCAGAAAATCAAATTGATTTGATAGTAGGCCTTCAGAAAATCGAATATAATAATGAGACATTCATACCTAATAATTAAGATATTCTTACCTAAAAATTAGATATTTTTACCATAATGAGATATGTATGATTTGAATAATTAAATTATTCATATTCGTACCAATTGAGTAATGTATTAATATTCTTAATACGATTCATACTAGGTCTTTATAAAAATTGTTCAATATTTGATTTGTTATTCGAAATTAACTAATAGAAAAAAAGTGTTATTTTTTCAACTTTAAATCATTTTTTAAGCGCGTTTTTAAAGATTTAAACATCTGATTTTACCGGAAATATGTTTCATCACGTTTGGAAAACCTATCTTGAATTGTAGATAATTTTGTTGTTAACCTTTGAGTGATTTATAATTTATATAAAATATATATGGAAATTTTAATATAAATTATATTAAGTTTAACAGTTAATGGAAAAATTGTCTACAATTCATAAGATAGGTATTCCAAACATGATAGAATATTTTTCCGGTAAAACGATTTATAAATTTTAAAAAAAGTGCTCAAAAAATGATTTAAAATTGAAAAAATAACACATTGACGCTAACATATACAAATATTCGTAATTATTTTTTTTTAAAACAAATATTTTATTCTTTTCTATTATTTCAGTATTAATTTTTTTTTTTGATTATGATAATATCTTCTTGTTTAAAATTTCCTAAAACAAATTTAAGCAATTATTTATAAATGGTAAGTAATAATAACTACGAATATTCTCAGGCATGGAACCAAGTCCAAATTGTGGTATAAAAAAATATTATTTACAGAAGATAAATGCGATGGAACGAAGTTTAACTCAAACAATTATACTAATGGAATGAAGTCCAAATAATTTTACGGATATTTAATTTAGTCGAATTAAATCATATAAGGATCTTTTATATAATCAAAATGTATATGTTAATTTAACCCAATCAATAATTTTTATAATGATTGACATATATATTTTTTTAAATTTAGTTAAACAGCTAAATATATGTTGTTGCAATATTAAGATTATGCTATTAGAAGAAGAAATAATAGGGCTCTTCTTAGTGAAGGTCAACGGTCTTCTCGATTTAGATTAGATGGTAGTTGTTTGATTATTAGGATTGGTTTACGGTTCGGTTTTTGCAATTAGGTTTTTCGTTATGACCACCGATAAAAGTATTCTCTTTTTATAATTATCAAATAAATATAAATAATATCAAAAAGTTTCGCCTATTCAAGTTTTATTCAGATACAAAACTAGTTGCAACGTTTTAATTTTATTAATGTATTATAGGTGTAGTACGCTTATGTACTCTTACCAAATATTATCCACGACATTAAACCTACACTCTAAGTTAAAACTAAATATTTAAATGTTAAGTTGGGAAATCCAAAGGGAGTGATTACAATTAAAAATCCCACCTGGCAGAAAGTGGTAAATTATATTAAATTAATATTGTGATTTATTAGTGGTGCCGATCCACAAATTTTTCACCTATCCGATCCGATATTTACTAAAAAATCTTTAGTTTTATTTACCATTTATTTTTGAACCAATTTCATAAAAATATCAATATTTTCTATTATAAAAAAAACCAGCCAACTTTCACGAATGAAAGTATCTCATTTAAAATATTTGCATTGTTTATGGGTGAATATCTAATGTTGTTAAACAGTTTCATTTAGCATGCTTATAAAAACCAAAATATTATTACCTAAGCCTTGAAATTTCGCCAATAGAAGTCCAAACCTTTCTGCCATATGTGGGCAAAATAAATAAACATGAGTAATTTTCTTTTGGCCAAAATTTTGAGTTAAACATTTATAAAAATTGGCTAAATCTCTCGTTAGATATTTAAAATCCTTTACTTGTTGCAGATAATATAACAAAAATTTTATAATAAAATATATTATTATTATAAAATGGATAAAATCCAAAAATTACCCAAGCCTTGAGATTTCACCAAAGAGCCTTATTTCCATTCTGGTATGATTTGTTTTCTTAAAATTTTGATAGAAGTTTTAAACAAAACTATTTATTTATCATATTTTATTATTATTATATTTGCAAATAAATTATATATTTTGGTCTTTGAAAATTAGCTCCAGACCGAAGCATGATTTTTATTAGTTCTTTCACATAAATGATTTTTTTTGTATAAATTTATTTTAAAATTATAATTGCATCTAACTTACTATTATGAATTATGCAATGTTTAATTTTATTCTTATTATGTACACTATAAAATATCCGAAAACAAACATTCATTATTTTATCTAATACAATTATTTTACTATTCAATTCGATTTCTGTAGACCTAATTCACACTAAGCTATAGAGGTACACCATGGGTATGAAGGAAATTAATACTTAAGAGCCAATTTCTAATCATTACCATCCATTTTATATCATATTTATTAAATAATAAATATAAAAACTTTCATATGTTTCAAAAAAAAATGGCAGTGCCATTAGTACAACATTGGCAAATTTTAAATTTAATGTTTTAAAAAAATTTGAGAATATTATTGAAGATTATAAATTATTGTTTTAATATCTTTAAATTAATAAAATTTATTGTCCTCCTAGGATATTTTTATTTTTTTAAAATAACATTAAATACGTATATCTCAAGAACTAATTAATATTAAGACTTGAAATTTAATAGAAATATATATATACATCCTGTCTTTACAATGACCGAATTTGGAAAAATAATATTATAAATCGCTTGAGATATGATAAAAATAAGCTGCATAGCATTTATTCAACGTTGGCCCTTAATAATCTTAACCAGATAACATGGTGTTTTCTAAATGGCTCTCCCATAAAGTAGATTGAGAGTTAGAACATAACAATAATTAGGCAACGCTTTTATTTATTTATTTTTTTAATATTTTTTTTTAAAAAATCATGCCTCGTGGCGCAGTTATAGCGGAAGAAAAGCCGCAGGACTCTTACGCTTTTCAGCGACGTTATTACCAAACGTTTGAAGAGAAAGGTCAAACTTTTCCTCAACATTACATCAAATACAGAGATTTTACTCAGCATTCTTACCCCGTCGTAGGTTGATTTAAATAATTTTCCGTTTAAATTTTTTTTTATGTTTTAAGGTATAAACTAATCGTGAATTTATAGTTTAAAGGGTGGAATAGAATTGTAAAAAATGAATTAATTTAGGAGAGGTAAGAATTGTGAACAATAAATTAGTTTAGGAGTGGTAGGGATAATATTTTTTGGATGTGAATGATCGATTCTAGCAAGACGTGTATGAGCACTTTTCATTCAATTGGTAAAAAGAATTAATATATAAATATTAAATCAAGATAATGAATGAAGTATATCAAAGTAATAATTATTGAAATAATAATTTTTCCACGAATATCAAACATTCCACTACAATAATATGTGTGCTCATCATATTAAATCAGTCTAACAATTATTAATAGCTAATTAACAAAAGGTGGCTAAGGGTTTAATTTCAAGTTTGAGCCAAAAAAATAGGCATAAATCTCAAGATTTAGAAAAAATTGGTCTGAATCACGATGTCAAAAAATTTACGCAAAACTCGGCTGCCATTTTGGAGTTAACTCGAGTTAGATAATTTACGTTGTACCAACACCAATAAATTATGATTATAATAAATAAGTTAGACAGCTAAGTATATACGAGAGCCATACACAATTGCCTTAAAATCATTTTATTTCCTAAAAAATAAACCTCTTACTATTAATAGTGGAATTTCATTTATTTAACAGGTAGTTTCAACAAATCCCCCTTTGCATCCAATACAGAATCTGACAATTCTTCCTTCGACGTTTTATTTCAAAATTTTTTGGATGTTTTCTCATCACTTTCTCCCAAATCATCTCGTGACTCACGATTATTGTTTCAAACCGAACACGAACATCTGCTCTTTAAAATTATTCTAAGTCCAAACGTTAATAGCATAATTCACGTGGCTGCACTTAATACTATAGCTTACGTGAGAGTTTTATTATTATTTTTTTTTATTTAAACTTTTTAACAAGATTGGGCAGTACCGCGATATTTGTATCTAAATACAAGATACTTTTTGACAAAATTAATAATACTTTTATATCTGATTCTTGGATACTTTATTTTCAAAAAACCTTGACAAAAATACAGATATTTTTATTATTTAAAAAAATATTTAATATTCACTTTTAACCTTATATTCTCTAATTAATTTTTTCTCCTTCCCTCTCTTTATATTTTAAAATTAATTTTTATTTTATACGCCTTTTATTTTACAGTTTATAAATTTTAATTGATTATTATATCCTTATTCTATATTCAATATTCTATAACATTATTTGATACATCTTATTTTCTAACATTATCATTATTTTGTATGCTTCTAAATTATTAACAATTATTATATTATTTTACTGAAAATTATAATTTATTTTAGGATATTTTATACTTTATCAAAAAGGACAAAAATTGTTTGACATTTTATTTTTAAAATTTATCAATTATATATAGAATACGAAAAATTGCTAATGATTAATGATAAAAATATATATCACAATATATATTCAAGTTTTTCTCTATTTATTTATATGCAATAGTAATTTCCTTTTACTAATAAATACAACGCCAATATATTTATTTATATTTTACTATCTATCATTTTGGATTGCCCTTTGAACATAGTATATCAAGATATAAAAATAATAATTATTTGGTTATTTAAATTTGTTGAAAGTATTTTCGTTTAAAAAATAAAATCATTTTAATAATGATGTCAATTTAGGTTATTAATTAAGGTTATATGAATGATATGTAATAAATTGTTAATATATTTTATTATGGTCATCGTGATATCATGTGTTTTTAAGATAATAAACTATTCTAAAAATTTAGTCATAGTACCTCTGGATAAATAAAACCACATTATGCCATTTTTTGGACTTTATTTTTCAATTCGTTGAAATAATCAACTTGTTAAATATCATATAGACATCTGTTGGTTGATTTTGAAATCTCTCCATTCTTATTGTTTAGACAAACACTTTTATTGTAGTTTGGTGGAAAAACGATGTTATATAGAATCATTGTGTTACACAGGTTGAAAAGTTTATCTTGACCTCCTCATCGACTTTATGGCATTGTGCAGAAGGAATGCGCAAATATATTATACAATAGAATTATTCAACTTTTCATTTATATTTTAATTCAATACTATATTTATCATGTTAATTGCATGAATTAAATAATTATTAATATTTGTGTTCAATGTCAAGAATAGGATTTTTATCTAATTATATATTTATTTTCTTTGGAAATAAATTTTATTTGTAAAATCTAATTTATCCTTAACTATTCTAATTTAAATTTTTCATAAAAGGTATCTTTTATCTGAAATACTCTTATTTAGCAAAAGATACAAGATCCTATATTGTGTTTCTTTTTGATATTCTTAATCAAATAGATACATATTTTATAAAGAATCTGCTTAAGGACCTGCCTTTATTTTTATTCTATTTCCCGATTGATTAACAATAGGAAAGGATAGAAATTAACATATATTTAATATTCTCATTGTGTTTACATTAGAAATCTGCAAATCTCGGCCCTAGCATGCCCTATTTTTAAAAAATAATTTTGGGTTCGGACTGGGTCGGGCCTAATATTTAAAAAAAGAGCAGGACCGGGTCGGGCTTAAAATTTTAAATATGATATCACTCAAATTTATGGAATAAATTGATATATTTTAAATTCTTGCAAGAAACAAGACGCCAATATTTTTTTTAGAATTAAGAAAATATTAAATATTTCTATATTTAAATAAATTGGGGCCGGTCTGACAAATAATTTTTTTGGGCTAGCCCTTCAAAAATTATGCCCGATGCAGATCACTAATCTACATATCGCTGCTGATAATATTTGAAGATAGGCATTTGTATTTAATTTTACTTTTTGTTAATTATTTAAATCCTTGATTATTATTTTAATAGCACAACACTGAAACGTTGGAATCAAATTATTAGAATTTTCTTAACGTGTAATGTCATCCAGTTTAGAATGTAAATATAAATTATTTATATACAAACCGGGCTATGTTTTAAATATTTCCGAGCTGGACCTAAAAATTTTTTTTACAATAATACCCAGATCGGCCCGGCCCGTATATTTCAAAACCAAATATTTTAAATCGTCATTATTAACTATAAAAATTTTAAGTAAATATATTTTTAAAAAATCCATGCCGAGTCGTGCAAATGGTACCCCTGCAGGTTTCTGATTTATATTTCGGATGATAATAAAACTAATGTTTACTTTTTTCATTTAATTATTTTTACAGTATGTATTTGACATCATGGATATATTATACTCTGACGAATTTTCTAAAACAACGGTAGGCGGAAATAGGCCTTACGTATACACTCTTATATCACCCGTCATCTTTCCCTACCTTAAAGAACGCAGGTTTTATATTAATATATAAAATGATGATACATTTAATTAATCAATATTATTACTTGTTTCCACTAGTGTTGTTAAATGGCTCGTTTTGAGCCGATTTTTAAAAACGGCTAACTCAATATTTCGTCCAGAAAAATATTACGCAAGCTTCAAGATTTTGCTCATAGAAGGAACAAAGGTCTAGGCATTTATTTTCGAAATCTCGAGGCTTAGGCAATATTTTTCTGGCTAAAATATTGAGTTAGCCGTTTTAAAAAATCGGCTCAAAATGAGCCGTTTAACAACACTTCCACAAAAAGTTATGTTTATTTTTAAGTTTGTAAAACTTTTTATAATAAGTGGTTATTATTTTTAAAAATTATTTATTTTATAGATATTTTAACGCTCCAGCTTTCGAAGCTAGCGCCAAAATATTAGAAAAAATGTTTAAAAATCCTGAATCCGAGATGAATGTCAATCAATCTCTCCTCAAAATATTTCGCAAGGATAGCTGGGATCTTTTTTGCGATCAGAATTTTTTCAAATCATCCGACATAACTAGCCTAATCTCATTGGGATTCGTCATTAATCGGCTTATATTAGCCGATAATGCCTATTTCAAGGAAATTATTGGTATTAATAAATTATAAGTTTATATGCATTAGAGTAGTGAAGGTGTTTATATTAATAAGGGAACTATAATTTTTCTTAAAAAATTATCAAATATATAATTAATACTAGTTATATATTTTTTTATGTTAAAAAATTACTATTTACTCTTTGGAAAATTATGAGAAGGCAAAGTTAACGTTGCTTTTTAAAATAAATACAAGAGAAAAGTATTTTAAATGTTATGTAATTCTATAAAAAAGGGTAATGATCTATAGCATTGGTCATTATATAGCAATTTGCTAAACGACAATCACATTTTATTTTTATATATATATCAGAGATTTGCAGAGGTATCATTTGCATGGTCCGGTTTGAATTAAAAAAAATTCGCCTAGCCCGGGTGTTATATTTTCAGTCCCGGCCCGGATTTTTTTTAACAGATATTATATTTATTTTTAATTTTTAAAGATGATAATGGCAATTTAAAATATTTTAAAAAAGAAAAATTTAGACCCGGCCTGGCCCGGGTGTATTTTAAAAAATTAAAATACTGTCGGTTCTCTGATATATATTTACAGAATCACGCTATCGTTTACGATATTTTATATATCATTCCTCATAGTGGTCAACCTTCTAGTTAGCTTCAGAAAAACTCGATCCTTCTAGGATTTGAACCCAGAATTGCAGGTGAAGAACAATAATTTTTTGATATACAAGGATAAATTAAGACGCTATCTAATATTTTAATAAAAGCACTAATTGATACCCTAAAAATAAACTTTGTGGAAGCTAAGAAAGAAAAATCTTATTTTATTTTAATAAACAAAAAGGAAGAAAGAAAAGGGTTTTTTTTAAAAAAATATCTCCACCCATTTTTTTAAAAAACAATTAAATTTAAAATGCCTAATTACAATTGTATTGTTAAAAATTTATCAAAAATATCCCCAATAAAATTTTGATGTGAAGAAATTGATTATCGCAAAAAGAAAAACCAACATGAACTTTGGATAGCTAATTTCTAACATTTCTTCAAATTTTCCCCAAATAATTATTAGTATTTTAAATAAAACTTATTCTCGATTTTTTAATTTACAAGCTGGAAACTAAATCAAAAGTAAAATTATCCGACGATGAATTTAAAAAGAATATCAATGAAATGCAGTAATTCTTAATATATATCGAATTGATGAAAAGTTTTAGAGAGTTTTTTTTAAATGTTGTAAATAAATCCTAACCCTCCAACAACCGTAAGTGCAGAGTGGGGATTTAGAAAGAATGAAAACTTATATAGAAACAGGATTAGTCAATTTCAATTGAAATTTTATTTTTTTATTAAATACTTTAAAATCTAACAATTAATTCAGTACTATTTGACTCAAAAAGTAAAACAAATTCCCCCTAATTGTAAATCTTAATATTCTATAAATTTTTTCTCTATTAGTAAACCGGAAACTTCGTCACTTCATTAGAGTGTTAATTTATTTTGAACCTCAAAAATTAATAATTGGGCTTCAATAATTGCAAAATACCATTTTCAAACTCAAATATTTTTTTGAATATTTAAGAGTCAAAATAAAATTTTTAAATAACTCTTTTTTGTTTTTGTGTCTTAGCCTTCTTGGCATATTTAAAAATCCTTTTTGGTCATAAACCAAAAATAAACTATCTTATGGAAACTTATCTTAACACTAAATCAACTAACTTGTTTAATCGGATCATTGTGTGTTATTGGGAAAAACTATTTTAATATTTTTTAATACATTCTTATTCAGTAGCTAAATCTAACTGAAATTTCTTTTTTATAGGTCATTTGTCTCCTTTGAACACCAACTACTCGTCATCTTTCATGCAGCTTTTTAGCAGGACTGAACAGGAAAATGGTATTAGATTAGCCTGGGTCAAGAGGTTGGCTTTCATGATTCATTGTGGAGCCTTCAATCAATATGAGAAACATTTACCCGAAATTCAAGGTTATGCGCTTTAAATTTCACTCAAATTTAACTGTATTAATTATAAATTCGAAAGTTATAAATCGTTTTTTCTTTTTTTTTCACATATCCTACCCGATATTCAGAAAATCCAATTCGTCGAAATTTTTTTTCTTATCTTGCATATTTTCTAGTAATGGAGGAAAGAAGATAGAAGAAAAAAGGTATAGAGTCTTATCAATTTTTTTAGGCCAAAGCTCGGTGGTTGAGTGCGATGCAGTCTATAAATTGAATTACAATTAGGAAAAAAAAGTGAAAAAATTTATTTTATTCCCCAATTCCCTATTATAATGGTATACAATAAATTTAAATATTTGGTGATCAATAGGATAATTTTATGTTTATTTATACAAAATATGAATATGAAAAATGAAATATTTAGCAATTATGAAACTAATGAATCAAACATATTAGGATTTAGACAAGTTGTCAGTTTCTTCTAAAATGCGCCTGACAGTTTAAAAATTTTGTTCACTGCCTTGCTAAAGAGTTCCTTTTATGTTTATTTGAAAGTTTATTCTTTATGATCTTTAATCAAGGGGAAAGAAAGCTGATATAAAATTAATATTTTTGATTATGAGCCGGGCCAATATTTTATTGATGATATTACTGGGTCTCAGACTGTTGTAGGAAAAGTCCATAAACCATCTATTTAAAATGCTTTATTATATAGTCTCAGTTTAAAAAGATGTTTTGTATGTATTTAAACTTGCATTTATAAAACTAGTAGAATTTACTAAGTTCAACTTTAAATAATACAAAACCTTTTTAAAACTCCTAAATTATTCGACCCTTCTATTAAATAAATAATAGTAAAGAAAGAATGACATTTACTCAATTAAATTTAAAACAAAAACTACAGATTTTTGGTTTGTTTTTAAAATTCAAATTACCAGCCTTTATATAGTTAACCTTAATCGAAATCTATATTAAAAACTCTGCCATTCAAAGATATTATTTTTTTAAAATAATTTAGGATATTTTCGATTACTAAACAGGCGCAGTATACAGTATAACGAGTATTTTTATTACTCTCTGCCACCGTTTATTTTTAATTAGGTCTGTGCCGTTATTGAATATCGGATCTGATCGGCACCGATAGTTAGCGTTTTCCAAAAATATCGGATCGGGCCGATACCTGTAAAAACCCGATCCGATCTTTTTACTTTTCTTTTTTTTTGTTATTTTATGTATATTTATTTTACATTAATAATATTTTCTAAATAATTTTTTTTAAACAATGCACAACACCCCTTAAATTTTATTTATTTTTTAAAATAGATTTATAGTATTTTATTTTTATAAAAATAGAAAGGAACACCCAAAATTTTATTTTATATTAAATAAAAGAATTTTTTTAAATATGGTATCTAAATTATGGAAATATTTTACAAAAGACAAGATAATTTTGCAAAATGCGTTATTGCGGAATTCTAATATCACGGGGAGGAATAATGAAAAATTCATTTAATACTACCAATTTCTGTAAACATTTTTTAATTATTGTAGAAATAAAAATTAAATGCATAATTCGATTTTTGCATAAAAAATATTTATTTCTTAATAACATTTGGTTCAAAGGGGGGTGGTGAAAAATAAATATACATAAAGGATCGGTGAAAAATATGTGGGGATCGGCGCAGCCCTATTTTTAATCATATTCTTTTAAGCTTAGCTCATCAAAAAAAATTTTAAACCCAAAATACATCAAAACCCACAACGGCCCCATTGAATGAGAACAGCCGAAAATTTAGCAGAATTTACCAGACTCTTAATAATTCATATAAAATCTATAAAAATTATAGAAGCTGCTATAAAAAATATTCAAAAAATGTAATTCTTTGTGAAATTTTTTTATCAGAAAAACTGGTAGAATATGCTAACACACATTATAACGTTTCCTCACATCTTTTTGGCCCTACTCAACAGTTCGTGCGTCACGCCACTCTCTGTTCGGTGTTTTTATGTTTCGAGGTTTTGACACTAAAGGTTTCCGATTCCAGGTTTCTGTGTTACATTATTAAAATAATTATTTATTGCATTAGCTTTTAAACCTTCGCAAATATAAAGGTTTTTGAAGTGTTTATATATTATTTTAAAAGTGCAAATTTAGGATACATCATATTTAGTAAGAAATTAAATTGATATAAACGAATATATAAAAAATATAAAAAGAATTCTAAGAATATATAAAACATAGAAATAGATTATAGTACATAAAAGATTATTAGTTTTTAGATTAAATCTTGTAAATAGTGACAGGTAGAAAGAATATATCCTTCATATCGATTAATATTATAAGGTATTTTGTGAATTTCGATAACTTCTCTGATTATCCTCTTTTTATAATGAATTTAATTGTTAAAATTTTCGTATTTTTGAAGTTAATGAGATGTTTGGAACTAATGCTGTGTTTAGCTAAACAAGATGGAGAAGGTTTAAAATATAAGAATGTTCATAATTTTTTTAATTGTTCGCTTAGTTTGTCCAATGTATACATTGTTACAAGAATGACAGCAGGGGCGGACTGGCCATAAGACCAGGTGGGCATTTTGCCCATGAGGCAGCGAGAAATGTCGATTTTTGAGGCCGATCAGAGGAAAATATCAAAAAAGAGGCCGATTAGAAAAAAAATATATTATTATGTTCACATTATTTTTTCTTATCATTATTTATTTTTAATGAGATCACTATGATTTGAATATCACATTCCTTGACAATTGTCATGTCATTTACTTAAATTTAATGCATAAAATACCAGTAACGTCGCTTGACGCTATACATTATTACGATGTTCTTTTCTTTGTTTTTTTTCAAATGAAGTAAAAACGCTTCCGTTTGAGTAGAGTGAAGCTAAGTTTTGATTAATTCATTATATTACATTTTTATACATTGACTTAAGCTTTTTTTAAAGGGCCACCGAAATAATTTTCACTCCAGAAATAATATAGCCAACATTTTTTGTTCTTGATTCATTGAAATCAAATAAAATCCAGGTTGGTGAGTCAGATTAAAGGATGGATGCTTGGGTGAAACAGAATAATTCATCTGGCCAAAATAAGTTGAGAAAGCTGCAAAAAATAGGTTAGATAAGATATGGGCACGTGAAAAAGCCCTTAGAGGATATATGATAAAGAGAGCTTGCTCCCAATAACGATAAATGCACTTCAATTTATAATAGATAATAAATCATTTGATACAAAAACTTAATAATTTATGTAAATTTAAGACTCTAACAGCTATAATATATTTGGAAATTTTTGAAATAATTGGCCACTTTCGTATTCAAACTAAAAAATTAGGTACTTTGTCAGCATGGAAAATGATAGAAGATGCTAAGTCTTCTTTATCATCGATTATTCCATCGATTCAAAATAAAGCAATAAAATGGCTTCTAATTTAAATGAAACACTTAAATATTTAAAGCTCCAGGAGAGTATCAAGGTACAGAATGGTTTGCCAAAAAATCGAATAGGACGAGCGAAGAGAATATATAGTGACAAATGCCAAGATAAACGTCCTCAAGAATCGATTAACCTTTATAGGTTCGGAGTATTTCGTCCTATAATTGATCAAATTATGAACAGCTTGTCGGATCGGCTCTCTGCGAATTGAGAGTTTATTTTGAATGTGCAATATTTGCATCCTAGACATCTGAGTATATTCAGCAGATAGAATAATTTTTAATATCCTCTTAAAAATTAAAGATACGTATTTTTAATTTTTAAAAGGAAATTATGCCAGGCTCTAAAGGAAGGGTATGCCAGAAAAATAATTTAATGACATACCCCCTTTTAAAATGTTTAACTATTTAAAATTTATATTGCAAATCTTATATTGCTGAGGATATTCAGCAGATAGAATAATTTTTAATTTCCTCATAAAATGTACAAAAAATCCTATGAGGTTGGGAAGTAGGGATTTCAGGATTTCTATCTTGATGAAATAAATAGTAAAGATATATATATTGCGTGTTAAATTACGTAACGAATAATGTTCATTTGCCAGTGTATTCAAAGATATGGTAGCAGAATAAAATGAAACGAACGATGATCGTATGAACAAGTGAGGAGTCAAATGAAGAAGATGGAATATTACAATATGGTAATAACTCAGAGTGTGATAATAAGTGTAACAAGTGTTTAATATGCGTGTATGAAATTTTTAAAAGATGCAATATGCATACAAGTGACACTAATTTATTGGCATATGAATACATTTTAACTTTATCATTTACGCAGGTTAATTGCGAGAAAACATTTAGTAAATTAAAAATTATAAAAATAAGCTGAGAGCTAATATTGACCAAGAAAAATTAGAAGCGTTTTAATGATGTCAGTTGAATGAGAACTTAGCGCAGATTGAACTAGAAGAGATTCTTGTATATTTGCGCAAAGGTTCAAAGTTTGAGAGATTTATTAACGTAAAAATTATATATTTCCTTTTTTATTTGAATTTTATTAATATCTATTTACAATATGATCGGTGCCTGATTTTATAAGTGTAGCAATTTTATACGCTGTAATATTGTATAACTGCAATAAGTAAAATTAATTGATTTGATATATTGAGTATGTATTTTTTATATTTTACATGTGATGTATGATATTATTTTATAGTGCAATATCGTTATAAATCTAATATAAATATATAAGTGCCATGAATATTATTTTATTTTGGTAGTGAATATGATTTTAGATGTGCATTTTTAAAAAATAAATTATATGATTATCGTATAAATACTATTCCTTTTCTTCCTAAAAATGTAATTCTTTTTATATTCTCAAAAATAATAAGTAATAAAAATCATGTAAATCGAAGAAGCCATATAAGGAAACCCGGGAAAAAGCGGGCCGAAGGCCCGCAAAAATAAGAGTATGGGGGCGATGCCCCCATATAAATTAGGCCCCTATAAAAAAATGCCCACGAGGCCGTAGCGTCGCCAATCCGCCCCTGAATGACAGGGTATAAAATAAATACCAGTTTTATTGAGGTAATTATTTTTATTAAGATTGGAATTAGGGAAATATTGTTTATTTTATTTTCTTGAAATACTGTTCTTATATTATGTTCTATTGTCAATAAAAGAAATAGTAACAATAAATTTACTATGGTTTTAGAATTATTTTTAAATTTTTGTTTTAATTTACAATTGATTTTGTTGGATATACTTATATTGTTGCCATGTGAAGAAAAAACGGATTTAAAAGTTTAATTCGTCATCAAGGGGAAATGAAACGCATAAAGGTAAATTATATTAATTTATGTTTTTACTAAATTTGATGTATCCTAAATTTGTATTTTAAATAATAAACTTCATAAACCAATATTAATAATAAAATTATATGAAAGGATATAATTTTTTATATATATTTTCCACGAATTTTTTAAATTAAACCAAACAAATTTTACTCTGTATTATCCCTTACCTGGCTCTAGGCTCTTATCGTTGTGGCCCGTGATTATGACTCTCTCCTTCACAATTCTTCGTGAATTTTGGCAACATTTACTTGACTCAAGTCAGGTGAATGCTCTCAATCAGGAAATCGATCAGACGCCGAGATCTGTAACTCCACCTTGTAGGTTCGTCATATATTGAAGATTATAAAAATATACCTTTTCCTATGATCGAAAAATATCATTGGCAAATTGCAAACCTCTATTACAATTACAGGGATTGTTCTTTGATTCTATTTTATTATTATTTTATTTAAAATCTTTTATTAATTATCCTAACATACAAATTGGAACTGATATTAAATTTACGAATTTGTAATTGTGGGCCTATATTTCACTCATTTACCAATTTTTTTTTATGGGAAATTAATCTTAAATTAAGACTAGAACGAAAAGTAAAATGTTACGCATAATATTTTATTTGATTCGAAATAAACTGAATAGGAATAATGTCTGAAGATGCATACTCGAAACTTTACATTTTCGGGACCATGTTTAATTCATTTAAATTTAGTCTCATATTTTTTAGACTTTTTAAAAATAATATTTATCAATTATTTCAATCTAATCAAGAAAACATATAAAAAAATAATATAATAATATCAAAATGATATCATATTTAAAAATTTTAGCGAACAAATGTAATACAAATGATAAGAAGGTACCTGACTAGTTAGGGGAAATATATTTGGAAAATATGTAGTATCTCGAATTTTTCTTATATTATTTTTTGTTTTTAAATATAAGGTATGCATGCTTTGGGTTATAAGGTTTTTAGTTTTTGACCTATTGATTTTAAAACCCTTAAATTTGGGACCAAGTATCCTAATGAATTAAAAATAAGAGGTGTGATAAATGAGTAATCATACATGAATGATCTCCCTCTATGCCAATAAGTGATAATGACCCAATCAGATATTAAGAAATAAAAAATCTGTTGGTTCAATCTGAACTGGGAAGCCGTTTTATCACGGCCCGTAGAAGTAGACCAAGAAAGATAATGTTTACCTCTACTATCTATTATTAGTAGTAGGAACATCTAGCTAGTGTGGCAGGGTAATACCACATTCTAGGAAAAGGCCTACTGCAACTCTTAATTCTTTATTACTTAACAACATCCCTTTATTCTAACTTGGTAAAGTATTAAGTTAGTGATCGTTATTATTTTTTATTTTGGACTAAATATGCAGAGGGATATCAATGGAATGGGCAATCTTAGTATTTTAGTACGTAATTCTGTATTACAACTTTTTTTACATATTTTTTTTATGTAGTCGTATTTTGATAAAATAATTTCTTTCAACAGATTAATTTCGAAAAAACTGATTGATCATTATTATTCAGCGGTGAAACTCTTAAATTTAAAAGAAAAGTTTCGAAAAAACTGATTGATCATTATTATTCAGCGATAAAACTCTTAAATTTAAAATAAAAGATGTTTGATACTTTTAAATATTTAAAATAAGTAAGATTTTAATAATTTTATATATTGGGAAATCCTTATCATCCCATCTCTTGTTTCTTCGATGAGTTTTCAATCTTTGCATAAATTTTAAATGTAATATAATTAATTAAACACTCAGTAAAGATCTTTCTTGTTCATACTGGAAGGGTCAGAAGGACAAACAAGTTTTCCCATTCTCCTAAAGCACGGACATGAAGAGGATCTGGCAGAGAAATGAGTTGTTCTTCTAAATGATAGAAAGTAAGCTTGGGAAACTAATGAAAAAGGCATGAAACCAAGTCCACCCATTTCGTAAGGGTGCTAAATTCATTAAATTTTAAGTCTAAAAGTTGTTTTATAAAAAGTTTAGAGTTTTCTTTTTTGGCACAATAAATCTCAAGAAATTCAGTGGGACATATAAACCCCTAAATATGTTTGGGTAAAAAGAAGTTTTTTTAAAATAAGTTAATTCTTGTAAGGAAAATGTTTTTTAAATGACATACATGATATCATTTCGTAACTATAGACCGATAGACCTGTTTCGACCTTGTTAAGTCTCATTGATATACAGCCTAAATACTCATAATATCATAGAATTTGATTTGAAAATATTTTAATCATTATTATATTAATGCTAGCTAGATCCGATATAATTATTTTTGAATTGAATTAGATGGAAATAAAATCTTTTTATTTAAATTATACAAATAAAGAATTGATCAAAGGCAGGGATCCAAACCGAAACGAATATCGGTTCAGGTTCAGGTTCGGATAAAAATAATGGTTTAAGGTTCAGGTTCGGTTCGCAAAAAATAAAAATATCGGTTCGGTTCGAACCTCTAAAAACTGGTTTGAACACATTTGTATTCAAACCTACATTAGGATTACGTATCAGGAAAAAATTTTTTTTATTTCATAATTAAAATAAAAACCATCATTTTTATTAATTGCACATTATAAAATAATATTTAATTTATAAATATAACAAATAAATATATCAATGATTAATTTAAATATGAACAATTACTTAAATTTTTTTTATTAAGCTGCACAATTAATATATTTTCAAAATTCGTCTCACTCAAATTACATCTATAAGGAGATAATATAAATTTAATTGTTGAAAAACATCCTTCCACACTAACTTGGGTAGCTGGCATTGCCAGTATGATATCAGATTTGATGTGTCATTTATAATACTATATGTAAATAATTTATATATTAGATTTAATTTTTTTCATTATAATTTATAAGCTTAAAATATTTAAAAAATATTGCAAAATGGCAATACACTAAAGTTTATAAAAATTATGACTGACGTTTATCAATCAAATGTGATTGATAATAATTTTTAAAACAATTGGAATATAATTAAAATATTTGGAATATACTACTAGTAATAACTTACACATTATTTTATAAGCATAAAATTATGAGACTCGAACCGGTTCAGAGGCATTTTAGCGGTTCGGTTCAGGTTCGGCTAGAAATTTTTTAGAGGTTTAGGTTCGATAAAAAATACCGGGTTTTAGCGGTTTAACGGTTCGGTTCAAGTTCGGTTTGGATCCCTGTAAATAGGTGTCTAAAAGGTCCTGAATATGTGTAGGTTTGACTCCGATATATTTTAAAAATAAATTCACTGATATAGCAAGCTTCTTAAATTTTATTTTACATTCTCCGCTTTAAATAATAATTTTAGACCGTTTTTTATTTATTTTACCAATATACAATTTTAAAATATAACTAAGTAATTCGAACGTGCTCACATTTCCAAATTCTTCTAATTTTAGGAAAAATAAAAATGGGTAGTATATAAATTTATTATTATACTTTAATTAGGCCTCTTACTCTACCTTTGGCTGGAAACGGTCATTTAGTCACTCATTGTGCTGTCGACAATCAACGACAACGATTGAATTCCTCTGGAAGTGAACGTTTTCTTATATCGCCTTCCGCCTTGCAGTTGATGTTGTCACTCTGTAGATTGTTAGAGTTTGCATTGGCCCTGCCTCCCGATAAATCCCCTTACTTTCAATCGTATGAACAATAATATTAGAATATTTATTTATAATAGTTTTAACGATACACCATTTTCCTTAGAAAGATAAGAAATTTGGGGCTCAAACTTGCGCCCTCTGACCTCGAAGTTAAATGTTGAGTTATGCTATATAATGTTTTTAATCATTAGGCATTTGTAGGGTAGACCGGGGTTATATTGTCTGTAAAAAATTGAAGTGCTATAAAAAAATAGATGAAGCAAATTTTACAAAATGTTTAAACGTAGTTTTATTATTTATAAATTAATGTTTTGGAAAAAAACCTTTTAGTTTTTTTTAAATAAAGAATTTAAGAATTATGAAAAACACCCGGGGTACCTATTATACTTTCGCATTGCGTATCAGAGCGTTTTTTTATTTTTAGATTTTTTTATAAAAAATGTTAATCTTAAGTGGATAGATAAATGAAAACAAATTGTTAAATTTACCTGGTTCATCTATATTATATATATCTGCCGGAAGAACTATTGTCACTAACTATAAAAAGTAAATCAATTATCTTTATATTGTATTTCGTGACCTAGTAAAACTCGTGGCTTCTAATGTTCCTATAAATATAGTTAGATTTTTTTAATTTAAAAAATTTTCTGCTGGCTAATACCCCGCCAAGCCTTTCTCATGTCTTCACATATAATTAAAATTTATTCACGACATTAAATTATCATAAATATTGCCAATATTTTACACATGATAAAATTGAGATTACTTTATCATCTAGAATGTATATTAATTTTGAGTAACTTTTATAAAAAAAATTATTATTAATATTGTAAAAAATCTATTATTCGTATACCAATATGATAATACAATTATTCGATCTCTACAAATACGAATACTAAATTGTTTGATTTAAAATTTATGAAACGAAAACGAATATTTATATATTTTTAATCATTCTAAAAATGCCGATTATTTTTATTTTTTTAAAAATATATATGGATATGAATATTGCGTCATATTACCCGTTTTCATGTTTAAACTTTTAAAATAATAATAAATATATAGTTTTATTTTCATTTTCGTGCATAAATAATTATTTTATTATATATAATATGTATTGTACATATTATGGAACCTAATAATGAGATAATCGTGGACACAAGTTTAGATCTAGTTTTAAATGCGTTAATTAATATTAATTTAAATACTATTTTAAATTTTCGTTTTTTAAATTTGTTGTGTGGGGATCCTTCTCTGCCAGTTTTGTCAATTAAAATATATATTATAAGCTTAAATATAATTTCATATTCAATAATTAATTCACTCTTTATAAAAGATGTTCATGGTGTTTCGTAAACTCCTCTTTCATTGGCGCGGTAAAGCTGAGTGACCTACAAAAAATTGCACGATATTGTTGCGAAACTTTTCAAGATAACACAAACCATGGCGACTCCCTTCATCAAGATGATCACCATACTCTTGAGCCGCCAATGACATTATCAGGAATCACTCGTTTAAACGCCTTAAATCAGCTCACACCATTTTTTCGGAAAGTTTTGGCTGTCTCTGATAGATCATTTACAACTTTTAGTTGCCGAGGAGGAATAAAAACGTTACAAAATTACGTGGCAGAAGAATTCGCGGAATCATATTTAGCAGATGATATGGGGTGAAAAACATGAAATATTGCTTCATTGTTCTTTAATAATTCCTTCTATATGCATATTACTTGTTACTGACTAAATTATTTATTCTATTCATTTTTAAAGCAAGAATAAACTTAAAATTATAAATGCTTTTTTCTTTTTACAATTCGTATGTTATATCGCTTAATTATTCTCAGCTTTAAATTATTATCTGAAAGAATGATAAAAATTGTAAATATATGTGTCCATTTTATAATCGGTGCAATTTATTCTATAAGAAAACTGTATGATACTTTTTTATTATATTTAGATAAAATTATTTATAATATATCATTATACTATTATTTATTTTAAATTATAAAAAAGAAACTTATTTTGCAAATATTATTTAAATTAGGTATTACTAGTATAAACAAAGTCTGGAATCGGAACAAATTTTGAAACTATAACTTAGAATTCTCTTAATATTTATAGAAAGAGGAATTAGAACCCTTTTTAGGAACCAGTTCCGGAAGTGATTATGTGTGAATTATTTTCAGTGTTTATTTTATGCTTCAAATTTTTTGATTAACTTTAAAAGAATTTGGAATTGAAACCTGGAACCCCCGGAACTAGAACAACTTTTTTAAAATATCAAAACCCTTTATGTCCAGGTTCCAAACTTATAAAAAATATTATTTTTTTCTTGCGAGGTATGCTTCTTAAAATTATTTTGAATGTTATTTATTAAATGCACACTTAGATTTTTTTATTTAATTGTAGAAAAAAATTAATCACAATTATAATCTTTAAGTTTTAAATGAACGCATTAAATAACATAAAAAAGTTGAATATCTAATAATGGTAAAATGAAGTTAAATTTTCAAAAAGGTTCAATTCTGACAAAAGGCCTTCTCTTGTGTGGCCTATGAGGCTGGTGTCTATTGTACAAACGGATTGGCTCTTCTATCCCATTTAATTCGTTAAACAAATATCTCAATGATCCAACAATATTGTTATAACTTACGCCTTTTATAGCACTCTATAATAATAAATTAATATATATATTTAGATCGGGTCGGAATACTAATTTAGGATGATTATAATTGTCGAATAATTTTAGACTAAAAAGTTTATGATCTCTGTCTCACTTAATTTTTTTTTAAATAAACTTTTTCTAAGTTCTGACTTGGAGGAAAATTTATAATAAAATAGCAATGGGAATTTCTTTTTTAATATAATTTTTATTGTTAATTTATTTTTCTCTCCTTGTTTCTTGTATTTTGTTATTTATATGAGATTCGTCTAAGCATAAGGTTATTTGTTTATATGGTATTTTACCTCGTATGAGTTTTTCAAAAATCCCATTACCATGCTAACCTTTTGTTCTACCCCGTAATAGAAATGATTGATATACGTAATAGCATTAAAATAGCTGATCCAATATTCTAAATCGTATTCTTTGAAATTTTCCGTTGCCTGCGTATTTAGGGGTTTGGCTATGTAATCAATCAGAAAAGACTCTAATTTTAAATAATTTTCAAGAATATCTTGGTGTTCCTAAGTGATTTATATTGCATATACATATTTAGAGTTATGTTTGTTTTTTTAAAATATCACCTTAATTTGTTGTATATTTTTTCTTAATAATTCTTCAAGCTCAATATTTTGAACTCCAGATATGGTAGTAACGGTTCCTAATTTTCGTATAAATATATAGAAATTTGATTGTATATTAATTTACTGTCATTGCTCTCCTTATACTTTTGAAATTTCCCAAATGCATCATATTTTTTAAAAGTGTTATCGTACTCATGCACGAGTTTTTGATAATTAATCTACACGTATTTATAATCATAAAGAGAAAATATTTAAGTTATAAACTAATTTGATATTTTTGTCTTCCATATCTCGTGTGGCTTGTTCTAATTTGTCCTCCATGGTCATTAGACTGCCAATTAATTGCTTATTTTCTTTGATAAGTTCCATCATACGCAACAAATTTAGTCTACTATTACTATAAAAAGAGCTATGAATATCAGAATGGTTGCCATTTTTATTTTGGTCCATATTAGGTTTCTCTCTATCTTCATTTTTGACAATATTTTGAGGGGTAAATATTTCGCTTTTATCTCTTTTTTTGAAAAATGTGTTAACATTTTGGGGGTTCAGCAATGTATCTGATTTATTCTTTGTGCAATCCTTGGAAATAATTTTTATAAGCGAAGGTCTTAATTGCTTTTTAATAACTATAGTCGCGTGAAAAAGCGATGGTTCAACATCTTTATGAATCTTTGGAATTTCTTGATTTTTATTCTGATTATTAACAAAAAAATGTTTTAAAAATTATTTCTTTTATAAATAATCATATACCTGTAAAAAAAATTCTAATGGGCATAACTTTTCACTCCTTGGTTTATATTCCACTAGCGACATTGGCTTAAATGGCAATACATCCATACAAACCTTTTTCTTATTCATATAAAAATAATTGATTAAATTGAAATACTTTATACGACTAAAATATTAAGATATTGGATCATATCCGACAAGTCTCCAAAAAATCTATATTCGTATACATCTTTTTATTTAATTAAGGGCTAGTCCGAGTTTAGGCGAGTAGATAACATCATTAATAAAATATCTGCTTAATTTATATCCCGAAAAAAATTTATTTTATTTTTTGCTTTCTCAATGAAATCACAATTACAAAATGAATAAAAAACAAGTAAAGTTTTAAAAAATAGAGAGGTGGGACAGAATGGAGGGAAGTAGTCAAATTATTTGCTATCCTAGCTTATTCGGTAAGAGCCATATTTTAAAAGAAAAGAAAAATAGATTTTGCAGGACTATTATTTTGATATCATATTTTGGATTTTTTAAATATGAAAATATTACTTTTAGAACCTCGTTGTTAATTGCTTTATTTTCTAGTGGTGCGGTTGATTTATCGAAAGGCTTAAGTTCTTCTCTCTTTACGGCTATGATAGGTTTAGTGTTAATTATTATTTTTTTCGACTGAGTAGGAATTTCGTTGTCATTTTTTCTTTTCGCGTTATAATTCAAAGCCGAAAGCCTTGCCAATCTGACACTTTCCTCTTTATTTAAACATCTTTTTAGGTTAGATTTCTTTTTGATAAAAAATTTATGACCTCCTATGTTAGGCACCAACAGTGTGTTATCAATATCGGCCTGAATGGTTGAATGAAATTTGGGCGATTTATTTTTTTTGAATCGTTTATTTATAGCATATTTTTTAGATTTTATCTTATCGGATATCTCAAAACTTTGGACCGCTTTAACACTACTCATACTGGAAGTAGTATCTTCGTTTTCCGTATTAATCGATTTATTTATGACCTTTTTGGCAAATATATTTTTGGCGCTGATATTTTTCAAGGAGGGTGGCTCATTGTTAAAATCTATTTTTTTAACATCGTTTTTGACGCTTACATTTATGTTAAAAGCTTCAAGTATGTGGGGAGTTAAGCTTTTTTCTTCAACTTTTAGCTTTTTGGGTTTTAATTTCTTTACATTTTCTTTCTTTTTTTTCCTTCTTGCATCTTTTAAGACTCTTCTATACATTTTGCCTATCGTTCTACCTTTCGTATACTTTGAATAGTCTTTATAATTGCTTGACACATTTCTACCAACAGACTCTCGGAAGAATCTTTTTAAAATATACGGCTCGAGCCATTTAATATAATCTTCGCAAACTATACAATAGATATATTTAATTTTGTTTTTTTAAAAAAAAAGATAATATAATTTTACTTGGTAGTTTATTTTCCGTATGATTTATTGTAAAATTAGGATTCAAAACAATTCGTTCCGGTTTATAAAACCATAACCTTTGACTCTGTCCTAAAACTTTTCCATTTTCATTCACATAGAGTAGATAGTAGTGGTTTGTGGTATCCAATTTTTCCTTAAAATGTATGTATATATTAGAAAAATTCTTGAATAGAAATAAAAAAATTTATCTTACTTTAATATGCTGAGTGTCGATATTAACTTTATAAGTTTTTGTCATGCCTTTGTTGTAAAACGTCATGCTCTTATTGGGTGTTTTTATAATGCTGCAGTTTATTTGATTCATAATCGGAAAATTTTTTACCCATTCGAAGGTTACATAAGCAGATGTTTTTTTCCACTCTTTTGGAAATAATCCTATCCAATCACAGGAGTTGTTTGTAACATTTTTGCCAACTTTACATAAAAATGTAAGGCAATCACCATTCATAAATCGATTGCCTTCTAACACAAAGTGAACCATATTCTTAATAATAAACATTTACCAATTGTTATTTTAAAAATAAAAATAAAATATTTTACCACGTCTGCTTTTTGGTTATAGTAAGTAGCTATGCCACCCAAATGTGGATCTAGAATTTTGACTACTTTCTTTGGGGGTGTAGGCGGCCTTAGTGTCACTTTTAAATGCTTATGATCATTTGGGATTTTTGCTCCATTGGTAAAACCAAAAATAGCTTCCATCATACTTTTCCATCCAGATTTTTTATCCCTTTGACTTGTATTCTTTTCCAAGCTCGAGCATGCTATATTTTTTTTTGTTTTTTTGCATTTTTGATAATCACTTTTATTAACACCTTCCATTGTGATAAGGTAATTATATTTATTAAGAATTAAATGGAATGGAGTTCAATTAAAGATAGAGTTGATTAAATAAAATAGATTGAGAAAGAATGATTAAAATTTAAAGAGTTTTTGTTAGAAACTAAAAATTAAATTAGAAAATAGAATAGAATGTAAATATCGTCATATATCCTTTATTATAATTCTAGAAATACATTTTTATTTTATTTAGTATATATATATATAAACAAGGTTGCCAGATCAAAATTTTCAAAATGAGACAGATAATTTTTAATATATATTTTAAATAGTGTTGTTAAAAGTTACTTTGAAATATAAATAGTTACAGTTATTAGTTACATAGGTAAAATTAACTAGTTACAGTTACTAGTTACATCTTTATATATTCCAAAAGTAACTAGTTACATTATAGTTAATTTATACATCATTCATAAACGCATTATTTATTTACTGAACGCATTTATTTAATATAAAAAAAATTAGGATATACAAATTATAATCAATTATTTGGAAAAATATACTATTTTTTTATATAAAAAAATAAACCGAAAAAAATTTCGGAAAATAGAATATATTTATTAGAGACCTGCAAGCCCAGCTCGGGTACACGGGCCGGGATGCGGGTCTTAAATTTTTTTTAAAAAAAATATCCGAGCCAGCCATATATTTTTAAACCAAATATTTGAAATCGTTATAATTAGCTATAAAAATCAAAAATAAATAAAATATTTTTAAAAAATCCGGGCCGGGCCTGAAAATATAAAATCCGGGCCGAAAAAAATTTTTGAAAAAAAATCCGGGCCGGGCCGTACAAATGGTACCTCTGCAGGTATCTGATATTTATATTTACATCGAATTAAAATATCATATGTATAATTTAAAAAATAACATATATTTATTTTTCATAAAAATTAGAGTTTAAAAAATGTTTATTTGTTTTTAACAACAAATTGATTTCAAAATTTTTACTAAGAGACGTGCTCGTTTCTCTTCAAAAATGAGCTTCCCTATAATGAATAAACGCTCTACGGGAGCACTTGATGTAAGGACAACATTATATTTAATAAAAAGTAATTTTAAATTTGGGAAATCATAATATAAAGATAATATGTTATTATTGGATTTCATAAAATTTTCTATAAGTTCAATATCAACAATATTTTGTCGCTTTAAAAAATTCAACTACATAAATACAATTGAACATGATTCAATTGTCTGAAGCGTATTTGATTAATCTCTTGTTGAAGGAAATTATATTTGATGACTGCATTATAATATTATTTTTTTTTCATAGCCTTTGCCTTTTCTTAATTTAGTGTTTTATTCAAAAATTATTTAATTCTAAAATAATCTAATTTGTCGTTCCTTATACTAAGTTCTATGATCTAATTTCGTAAAATTTAAAAAAAAATACATTTATTACTTATGAAATTCCATAAATATTACCAGCAGCTTGAGGGCAAAAAAATATGGAATATATTGTGCTAAATATGTAAAGAAATATAATATTAAAAATAGGTTTGTTACTTGAATTTGGTTACAAAATTATGAAACCCAGCAATGTAGCAATTTTAGAAAAGAAAATCTATTTGGACGGGAAATTATATTATTGTTGCATATCCTTTGTGAGACAATCAGACATTTAAACAAAATTTTAAATTAATAAATTTTAAAAAAATATTTAATTTAAAATTAATTTATCACCCTGAATCGGACTACCCCTCTGAAAATTTTATTGTATTTGACAAAACTAGCTTTACCCATCTAGGTTCACCCATTGGAGATGAAAGTGCTATATTTCATTCCAGTGATAAATTTTTTGCCAAATTCAATAGAATGAAAAATATTTTAAAACATTTACCTGCTCATCAGGCTTTTTATTTATTTAAATATATTTTATTCATTCCTTAAATTTTACATGTCTTTCGTTCATCAGCAATTTTCATAAAATATTATTAGACCTTGAGGTTCATTATAAAAATACTCTCACTATTTTAAATATCAAATCCTTTTTATCCTCAGATGCTAAATTTCCATACAACTTGGAGACTTGGATACTATCGAATCCACATCATATGGCACCATTAGACCTCTGGAGCAAAAATCTCCATGATCATATCTAAATTATAAGAAACTGGAATTTCCCATTGATACAGCATTGCCTCGAATACTTACACTTCAAAACTGTTCAAAATCTCCGTCGCCCTTTCTCCCCTTAAACCCAATCCTGAGTATACAGAATGGCAACAATACTACTCTTTTGCTGGATCAAATACTTCCATCCTCAGCCATATGCCACCTTAGTTACGAATGGTTAGAAACTATACCTGTTCTAATTTAGGCTTGTTTATTAACCAACGAAGAACTTAGAATAGCTATAATTCTTCGTTTTGAAATCGTAACGTCGACATTATGTGTCCCTTGTGAAACTCATATCGATAGCCTTGGACCCCCCCCCCCCTAAATTACTGTCGTTTTTCAAAAAGCAAATTATCCAGGCACTATCCCATCAATTCGATCATCAATTGAATCTTGAAATCCGGAAATATTCCTTCTACACTGGAACCCTCTGGCCTCAGTCCTGATGGAAGTCCCTTGGAACCAAGGCATACCTCTCGCTTGGGATTATACATGTGTAGATCATTTTGCCAGATCTTTTTCTTTCGACTCCATCACGAAAGCTAAAAATACAAAAACAAATAAATATAGCCACCTTAATAATCTTTTGTTTGTTCCGGTAGTCTCAGACACTGTGGATCATTTGGACCCCAAGCCATAAAATTATTCATAATAATAGGGCAAAGGTTACGTTTAATCACAGGTGATCCAAAAAAGGTTTCTACCTATGACAAAGAATATCAATCAAAATTTGTCGTTCTAAATGTATATCTATACATGTGTCATTAAGCCCCACCGACCAAACCTAAATACATTATTTTATTTTATTTCTCTTCTTTTAATATATAGAATATAGATATATTATTATAATTTTAATAAATAGTTATATTATTTTTTTTAAAACATATTAAAATAAAATTAATTATTGGAAAATATTATTTAGATTTATACATATATATTTTAAAAAGTAACTAGTTACTTTTTAATTTTTAAAATATAACTAGTTACAGTTATTTTTTAGCAAAAATAGTAACTAGTTACTTTAACAACACTAATTTTAATGTTGAAGGAGCTGCGCTCTATATATTTTTTCCAAGATTTTCAGTTGAGTTCCTACTCTCCTATCCTTTTATTATTATTTTAAATTTTCTAAAATAAGCGATTGGTAACATTTTTTGATGATTATTATAATTTTAATAATTTATAAAAAAAAATTTGTATATATTATTTAAAATGAAATCTAATTTTAAGATTAATGTTTTGCCATCCATATTGAGAAATTTATAAATAGCCCGACCTTTTTTTAATTATATTTTACAATCATTTTGTTGCTACTGCCCCCCCCCCCCAGTAGCAATCTGTTACTCTCTTTTCATTAAACTATTCTCATCAGGCTAAAATACATTTTGATGAGGCATTGTAGTGCGAAATACGCAAACAATGCTTATCAAATGGTATCGTGCAAACAGGTATGAGAAGCCCGGCAAAATTTTTGCCCTTGTTGGTTCAGGTTCGGTTTAAGGTAAAAAAAAATAGGTGGGTTCGGTAATATTTTTGAACCCCGGTTTGGTTCCGGGTTCAGCTAGGGTTTAAGAATTTTTAAATTGATATAAAAAATCTATATTTAAATCATAATTAAAAAACTAGACATAAATTTAAGTATAAAAAATAAATATTTTATTTTATTTATAGGCAAAATATAGTTAAAATACAAAGAATAGTCATTTATCAATTTTAAAATTTTATTTAGACGTATTTCTTTAAATTAACAATATCCAATATAATAATTTTTAATTTGACTTGTTCACTTTCATTTTCCTCTAATTAATAATCTTTGAGAATAAGTTAAAAATAAAAATAAATGGTGTAAATGAATTTAATTGTTAAAATTTATTAACACTCCAATAGGAATCTTTTAGAATAAATTTAAAAATTTAAGAATGGCGAAAATGAATTAAGTTTAAAATTTATTAACACATCACTTAATTGGAAATTGAAAATATTATAAAATTTCAATTAAATTATTAATATTTGTATTTACAATTATGCAAATATCTTAATATATGATTTTAAACAATACACTGAACCCGATTGAACCTGGGTTCAAAAAAAATTCCCGAGCTCGATTCGAGGTTTCGAAAATTATATAAATGGGGTTCAGGTTCGGTTCGGGTTCAGATTTTTTAAAACCCGGGTGTCCTTCTGCGGGTTCGGGTTCGAATCCCTGAGTGCAAAATGATCACAATTTATAGCATTTAAAAAATGCAAACTGGTTTGCCTTTTTTAATATTTTTTTCTAAAACGCTCAATTAAATCACACTTTAGACATTGAAATATTTCTTTAAGGCATGGACATTTATCATATTAAAAGCAAATCCATTTTTCCATATCTTTGAGATCTTTAATTTTTAAAATGTCTGAATCGAATAAATTTATTATTATACAATTTTTTCAAACAAATTAACTTAATTTGATTCATATTTGTAATTTTCGACTAAAAATGAAAATTCATTTAATGATGATATTTTTTCTAGTGTAAAATTAATCTTCTATAAATAGGGTCTTTGAAGTCATATTTAGACTCCAAATTCTCCCTATGATTTGGCAAGTTGCTTACAAATAAGTTTCAATATTTAAGATGCAGACGGTTAGCTATTGGGTGCTGCTATACCACATTTTAAATTATTAGGATCAATTTTGAAAAAATTTCTTACCACCTATTTTTCAGAAATATGCACCCATTAAGAAAAATACATTCTTATTTTATTTAGATAGATTTTTTAAATATGCCTAATTTTTATTCTAAAACTACCATTATTAAGTGATAAATCATTTTAAAATAATTTTATTCTTTCAGATATTTATGCCTAGATAATAAATTTCTTGTACTTTAGAGCTTTTTTTTTATCATTAAAGCTTTTAGAAATATTTTATTTC